AGCGTCTGAAAAGCCTGCGACAGAAGATGAATTTTCTGAATACATTGAAATACGCCAAGTAGACAGCTACAAAGACCAAGCAGAACAGGAAATAATAGGACACAGCAACATTAACGTAATATACACACCCGACTTTGACTGTTTAGCGTGGTGGAGTTTTCACAAAGATGTTTTCCCCCTGTTGCATAAAACAAGCTGCAAAATATTTTCCATACCAGCGAGTAGTGCGGATTCTGAAAGAGCTTTTTCAGATGCCAGAAACTTGATCACCGAAAAGCGTTGCCTATTATCTACAAATTCAGAAAATATAAACAAAATTATGTTTCTTCATGCCAACTTAGTTTAAATAAAAACTGTACAAAAACTACCTTGCTCTTCCTTATTTTCTTTGTTATCCTTGATTCTTTTGCTTCCCTTACGTACACAAATATTTCTACTCAAAAGCAGCGAAAAAAAAATAGAATGCATTCGAATGAATTCGGAAACTGTCCTCGCTCTAACTCATTCAATTCGTGCCTTTTCGTTTCAATGTTGTGTGTATGAGTTTTACGTCCGTCTTCACTCACTCAAACTCTGTTGACATAGCATTCGAATTCACTCAATTCATTTTGAGCTTTGTTAATTCGAATGCCTTTTTTTTATTATTCATGCAGTACTCTAATCTGTATTCAGCAAAAAATTCAAAGATATAAACAAAAATATGACATGACGTTACGTTACCAAAAACAGAAGCTCCACAAGCTGGGAAGGACTATCTGTGTAACACTTTTTTGTTGTATTAATACATGAAATATGGAGTGCTAATTTTCCAAGATATTATTAGATACCCTTCTTGGAAATTTGCATTACATCCGTGGAGACATCTGACGGAGGTTATTGTTGTTACGTTACCAAAGTCAGGGTTAGCTGTGATTATGCAAATTGTCTGTGATATTTTTAAGACAGTTGAACATTTTACAGAGACTTTGTGGAAGAACTAGGAGATAGGAGATAACAGTAAGAAAGGAAACATGGCTATAAAAATACCAAACCATACCGAAAATGAACTTCTTCTGATTTAAATATGGTTTGACATGAAAGGTAATATATATAGGGACAGAACTACGTACATAAATATATGGAAATGTATTTTTATTGACTTTTAATGTTGTTTGGCGTGGTGGACATTTTGGCGGAAATGCCAGCATCCAATTGAAAGGGGATACTCGGAAGACCCACTTCTGCATTACATTATTGCATTATGTAAATGTGTATGTACCATTGCCATGGCGACCAAGATATAAGACTTGGATGATATGAATGTACTTACCACTGCTGGTGGCTGGCCCAAGTCGTAGTTCTAGATAGGATTCAGACAGCAGTTGTTCAAGAGGACTTAGTACTCTGCTATTTCCGCTAGGTCCAAAGATCCTTGATATTTTTCGCTTCAAAATCAAACTAGTAAATTAAATATTTTTAGCGGTGTGCAATAAAATATTGTGTTAAGATTTAAAGTAAATAAAAATATCCCATTTGCTTGGAGCTCCCCAAAACGTATTCTGTAGTGTGTGCATAAATCGAATGGAGCCAAAGTACGCTACTCTGCACTTTCTAGAGAATGTGGAGATGCCGCAGTCGCAGTTCCCAGCAGTTCCTAGCCGTAAGCCTACTGCAGGTCATTAGAAACAAAAGGGAAATCATTTGGATTAAGTACTTTTGCATTGTTCCTCGGGCGCTAATGAATGCAGCGGTCGCATTGCGGGCTGGTCCGGGCTGGCCTAGGTAGAGGTTTTAATGCGTAGGTGGTTTTAATAACCCTGCCATAAAGTGCGGCCCGGGGAGGAGATTTCATTCACGACTTGGAACGCGGCGGCTCGATGGATTCATATTCATTCATAAACAGGGATTGCCAGGATTCGGATAGGTGTTTATGTGGGATGCGGGATCAGGTAGGTACCTACGGATCTACGGTGAGGTTGGATGAGTTGAGTTGAGGTGCGGTGAGGGGTGGTGAGGCTGTAAAAGCTTATTTGCCTAGGCTGGCACTTAGTCTTGCAGCCGCCTTGGTTCGCTATTTGAGCTGGGCCTTTCCCCCGGTAGGTTCTTTAAGTAATGAGCGATGGAATTTCCACGCATTCGTCTCGGGCCCGAATCTCGCCGAATCGGCCGAGGCGTCGGCGTCATAAACGGCAACCTACCTAGGACAATGCGGCACTCGTAAATGGCAAGAAAGGAAGTTATAAAATAATTAAACACCGCTACCGCTCGGCCACTGGCAACGATTTCATTCATGGAAAGTCTGCAGCTCGGAGCCGCCATGCGTAATTAGAGCAAAGAGCGCTCACAGCATGTTAGAGCTGAGATAAGCATGGGGCGGCATATTCATATTTCGATTAATTAGGAAATTTTACACGCATACGTTAGCCTGCTGCTCACCCACATCCACATGGAGAAGGTGCGGCTCTAGACGGCGACACCACGTGATCGGGGAAAACACATCCATACATCCATACATCCATACATATGTATGTACTCACTCGTGTCCTAACCAAACTTTGGCATGGAATTGCAACTTGGGACCAATCGCACACATCGACTGTTTGTCTTCCTCCGCGCCAGAGATTAGGCCCTGAGTTCGATAGCCATGCGCCACGATTAGCGAACGGCTGACTCAATCCGCGATCAGATCAGATCGGATCAGATCAGGCTGCATACTCGTACATCCGGCTCTCCTGCGGATAAGTACGCCAGGCTTTCGGTCCCGTCCCCGCTTAGATAGTGGATCACTCCACGCGATGGACTAGGTGTGATCTTTATTGATCTCCGTGATCAGGTATTGATCAGACTGCGATTTGCCCGCCGAGCACGCGATTAGATGATCAACGGGCTTGGGACGGATACAATGTACGATAGCTAAGGGAGCGACTGCAAAGTACTAAAAATGTATCTGCAAATCACATCCATACTTGAACCGGTCTGCAAGTAATCCCTTTTTCCATGGAAGGGAGCTCCTGCTGCATTTAATTGATATTGAAACCGCTTTGATTAATCAAATAAATTCCAATGATCCAAATTGTAAAGGGTTTTAGTTTCTCTTTTTCTACATAAAAATTCAAAATAAAGTTAAATCAAAGATTTAAGAAACTGTTTAATATAAAAGAGATTTATTTTAATATAAATTAATTAAGCTCGAACTAGAGTTATGTATATAAATATTGTACATATGTAGCTGTTTGTATGTTTGTATCTACACGTACATATGTATGTACATACATATATGCATACATTTGTTTTTTTATTTAAACCAATAAATACTGCCGATTTCTGAAACTTACGATATAAATATATTCTTGCTAAATATTTCTTTTCTATACGCATTTAACTTTTCATAAGTATACCTACAAGAAAAGTTATGTATTTATTACTTCTGATTAACCACATTCCACCGACCACATTTTAATATACAATACAATATATATTCAATATAAATGTAGGCAAAAACTAGTGAACCCCAGAACATGTGCCTATATTAAATATATATTAACTTTATTTCCATCTTCACCGACAGATCAGTCTGGCTAAAAATACATATATACCTCATTGCTCCAATTGCTCTATCCACATTCAAAGAAGAGAAAAATGCGTTAAATGTGTGTTTGCCTACTCGTATTAATATTTATTTACACTTGAAATTTCTTGTACAGTTCCCTTTTTTGTGGTTGTATATTTTCACTATCAGCAACATCTCCATCGGTTATCTGTCCATTGTGCGGTTTATCTATTCCAATTAATCTAGTCCCAGAATCCCGAATCCCGCCAGGGCAAACGCCCTCCGCCGGCAGTAAAGTTGCCACTGTTGCCCCAACCCGGTCCATCCCCAAATAATAAAGTTTAGCCAAACTGTACTGCTCTACATGCTCAAACCTCTTCTGTGGCCCTCGGTCTCAAGCCCCCAGGAAAATGCGTCGACTGGCTTCTTATGTACAGCTGTGCACGTACATATCTGTGAATCCTCAGCCCTCGGCCCACACTTTGCATATTTGGGCGGAAGCGAAAGCAACGGCAACCCCTAGGAGCAAAGCACTTAATTCAATAATAAATTGCCACCACAAGAGGCGGCGAATCATCAGCCGGAGCAGAGCGGAGTCAGGAAGGCCGCAGATAACCAAGTCACGAATTTAGCACGGGAAACCGAAGGGGGGAGGGCACACCAAAGACCAACTCAACTCAACTCAAGTCGAAGCCAAGCCCAGTCGTGCCTCACGGGACTGGAATTGGGAATTGGGAGTGGGGTCGTGAAGGGGAGGGCCTGTGGGTTTGCGGTGGGTAAGCGTAAAATTCATAATCGTGAATGCTTCACTTAAAGTTGCGCCCAAATCCGAAAGCCACCCCGCAGGGAATCGTCGAGCAAAAATAGATAGATATACGGATATACGAGTGTGTGCCACAGAGGGGAGCGAAGGGTAGCAGCAGGGACAGGGCATTAAAAACGAAAGTCAAGGAAGCTCGAAAACTACGCAGGACTCGGCTCACTACATACATATGTACATAGTACATTATGTACTACGAGTATCCTGCGTGACTGTGTGTGCGTGTGCGTGTGCGTGAGCGGCCATATTGTTGTGTTGGGCGAAAACAACCCTGAAGCGTGCCTCGCCTCTCGCCTCTCGCCTCTCGCTCACACAGAGGCAGACAGACAACAAATCGATGAATGAAGCGACTCTGTGTGTGTGTGTCTGTGTGTGTGTGTGTGTGCGAGTGCGTTTGTAGGTAGACCGCTAAGTAGGCCCGTGGGCAGAGCAGAGCAGAGTCCTGGCTTGCTCAATGAACGAGAAATCTCTTTAAATGGTGCGCCGCTCGGCCAGGAGAGCTCAGTTCGAGTTTAGATCTTGCAGCGCACACACAGCTCCGGCTCCCGTCCATTCCCAGATAAAGTGTGTGTTCCCAACCAAAAAGTACTCCCGTGAACCAAACAGAGAGAGAGAGAGATTTGTACTCCACCAGATTCGAACAGCATCGAAATGTCGACTATTAACCTGCACCCCCCACAAACGTACTCGCGCCTGTTCCGTCCCTGGGACACGCAGAGGCAGGCGGCCGCCCCACCAGCCAGGACGGTGAAGAACGAACCCGAAACGGTCACCATCAAAACGGAGCTACCCAGCAGCAGCTTCGGCCACGACAGCGACTCCTCTTCCTCGTCGAACAGCAGCAGCAGCAGCAGCAGTAGCGGCAAGTCCAGCTACGATGATGGATACACCCGCACCTCCACCCCCCTGCTGGATGTTACGCCACAGCCCGTCTTCCCGCATCCCACGTGCTCCTCTGCCTCCTCTGCCTCCCCGACTGTGGCGCCATCCCAGCAGATTTCGCCGCAGCAGTCGCCCTTCATGCCAGCGGCCAGCGATCTGTACTATGCGGCTGCCGCAGCTGCAGCCGCCGCCGCTGCAAGCACTCCCGCCGGTGCCGCTGCGGCCGGCTTCGGCATGGATCCGTTCACGCTGGGTCTGATGGAGCAGGAGTATGCCCGGGTGATGGCAGAGGACGCCCAGCTGAAGGCCCTGAACGCCCGCAAGCAGCGCCCCAAGAAGTTCAAGTGCCCGCACTGCGACGTGGCCTTCTCCAACAACGGCCAGCTCAAGGGACACATTCGCATCCATACCGGTAAGTCGAGCAGTCGCCCACCCCCCGCATGTGGCATGCCGTACTCACACATCCTCTTTCCCTTCCTCCCTCCTCCAGGCGAACGCCCCTTCAAGTGCGACGTAGACACCTGCGGAAAGACCTTCACTCGCAACGAGGAGCTGACGCGCCACAAGCGTATCCACACTGGACTGCGTCCGTATCCGTGCAGCGCCTGCGGAAAGAAGTTCGGTCGCCGGGACCACCTGAAGAAGCACATGAAGACGCACATGCCGCAGGAACGCCAGCTGGGTCCGACCATCTTCGTGCCAATGTACCCATATCTGTATGGCTACTGAAGAGACAGAGGGAGATCCGATCCTCGCTCCAGCGATCTGTGAAGCGCTTGCACGCTTTAAAACCGCTACAAAGCCCATCCATACGCACATAGCCACCGATGCCAACGACAACGATAAACATACTCGTAGATAACTACTCAATGCCGGCCAATACTCAATTCCCCATCTTGGATAGATCTACCTCAGCCGTACCGTACCTGGCGCAATCTAGCGCACTCACTAACCGCTAACAACCTCACAGTCTCAGAGAGCCAAACCTCCGAGAGAGACAGAGACGGAGAGAGAGAAAGAACGAGAACCCGATGCACCTCGACGATATATGCAAATATTGAGATATTTATTTTTTAACGCATATTTACACAACGTGACGCTACGTGACGAGCTAGGAGCGTAGCGTGGCGAAAAGAAAACCCAGCATTTGTGTAAATACCTCCTTAAGTGATCCTTCCTCATATGCTAAGCGATTAAGAGATATAAGCGATAGATGGATATAGATATACCTGTATACACACAATCTTTATTAGATCTAAGCAGATTTTTCACATTTTATATGCTGAATGCGGTTACTAGCAATATACGATTTATACCTAGGCATAGATATAGAATCATAGTTAAATATTCAGAGTTGCATTATACGATTTATGTTTACACCATGAAATACAAATTTTAAAAATCACAATTTCCATCTTTGTTTCTTCGATGCTTTACTGAGAACTACTGGGCATAACTGGGGATAACTGGGGATAACTGAGGATAACTAATTCGGATCTGGAAACGCAGTAGATCGGACAGGAACCAAAGTCCATTCGACTGTGGGGAATGCCATTTCCGCCATTTTATGTGCACATTAATTACTGTTGCTGTCACTTCCCGCTAACCAGATCATTTAAAAATCGCCCAAGTCATCCCGGCAACATCAAAGCGAAACCTGCTAATGCATTCATCCTCACCACCAAAGGGTTTGGCTTGGGTTGAATGCACAAGTCATTTTGGCAGAATCTGCAAAAATTCCATTCATAAAAGTGCAGCATAATCCATTGGATCAGGCGGGGCCAGAACGGCTGAAAATCCCGCGCTAACTTCAATCCGCTCATTGTACAAGGAATGCGAATCAAAAAGTCCTGATTTCAGATGAGGAGCAGAGCAGAGCAATCATCTCGCACAGTTTCCCACAGATCACAATCAGATCCCAGAGCAATTGTCCAAGCCGACATTGCCGGCTTGCCATTACTCACCTGACAGCTTGCGTCATTCATAAGGACAATGGAGTGGGCCACCTGAGCCATGAAACTGTGTGTAGCAGACACTCAGTCTGCAACAAGTCGAAAGGACACTTACTCGCATTTGTGGAATTTGTTATGCGAACAAGCCATCGATCCCTGGATCCCTGGTCACTATCAATGTGACTTCTACGAGCGGACAAAAGATCAATTTCTGAAATGGGAACCGTAGCAGACCGGTGGGCAACGGCAACGGCAAAAGCAACAGCAACGGCAACTGTCTGGTGAACGAGTCTCAACCTTTTCCAGGACAATGGCAAATACGGTCGCTTGATAGGGGCGTGCAGTTCTCACATTTACCTGTCCCCTACCTGTCTGTCCTCCCAGTCCTCCCAGATCCTGAGAAGATTTTCGTGTCTGGCAGACAGTGCGTCGTCGTCGTCGTCTTCATCGCACAAGTGGAACAATGATATACATATACTCCTACAATAATGTGTCCCTTCGATTCGAATAATTCGAGTTCGGACCTTTGCTGCAGACAAGACGGCTGCACCTCAGGCACTTGGCCGAATACTCAAGAGCCACGACAGTGCATTTGAAGCCAGTTCAAATACACATTTCTCAACATGAAAATCTATCTATCGCTGAATACTTTTCGTAATTTTTTAGGCTTTGTTACGTAATTGTCGGCAATTAATTAAAGGAGAGTATGGCACTCGATTGACAAGAGCGTTCCGTAATCTCAGGTGTGGAAACCGTGCATGATATCCCACATGATATATGGCGATCACATCTGACAAGTGTTGAGTAATGCGACGACAGTTTATAAATATGTCCAGAAAAGCAACAATCTGTAAAATAAACAACGTGGTAATTTCAACAAGCCCCGATGAAAACTGCTTTTATTTCATTTCTGATCAAACTATGCACCTAACATTTGGGGCAATAATAATTTTTTGTATATCTCTCTTAAAAAGAAAAGATTTTCTTCTTGGACGTTATAAAGTACGAGTATGCACAATGGGCTGGGCCAAAAAAGGTTATTTTTCGAAATTCAAACGAGACACCCCTAGTTTTGTTACCTTGGATTTAAAAAATTTGTTGCTGAATGAGTGGGATAATTAGTGAAATCTATTGCATATGTATTGTTAGCATTCATATCGTCATTAATCGGTTATTGGCAGTAAAAAACCTGCACAATTTTTGCGAACTAGTAAACTAAATATATCAACCGCAGCTGAACTTCCTGATTTTCAGCAATTGTTAATTTTTAACAGTAACTATACAAAAAAAATAAAAATACATTTTTATTAATATGAACTAGTGTTTCTAAGTTTCAATATTATTTAAAAAAAACCGACGAATTCAATTTTTTTTAATGAATATTTACCCATTTTCTGGGCCACCAACATAACTAAAAAGTTAAAAAAAAATTGTATAATTTTATTGAATAACAAAGAACAGAATTATGGAGTGTCCACTTGAAAAAAAAAAAATGTTTGGTCAAATTTTTTCCCAGCCTAATGCCCATATACTATTTTCTCCTTGTTGGCGCTTTGACTTTGACTACTTCTGTGACAGTTCTCTGGAGAGATTAACCTTCGTTGGTGATCTTGGTGTTATGCTTAATAATATATTAAAGTAAACGAATACTTTTCTACCATGGCAAATAACGTAAATGGGCTTGCTTGAGTTTATAAGAGGCGCAAAGGTGAAATACCTATCGACCCCAATATAACGAATACTCTTTTGCTTGCTCGACCGATTTCAACATAAGGCTCCAGTGTATGGTGCCCCAAGTACAAAGTATAACAGTATAAAGTGTCCATAAAAGCGTTTTTCTTTGCACGGCCTGAACTTGGATTCAAATGTCACATCTAAAATCGTACTGTACAAATTTAACACTGTGCTTAGGTGGATTAGTACTTTGGATGAGACCAATTTCAGATTGCAGTCCTTCTTGCCACGTTTCCCAGTTGTAATTAAATTCTGCTAATTTAATTAGAAAGTGAGATTTGAATTTTGATTATACCTAACTATGTAACCATTAATACAATACCATGAATAATCGCAGTTTCATTATATGTAAAAATTAATTGAATACATTTTGCGATTCCACCAATCTCATTATAACACAATATTTTGTATGGCTTATGATCCGACCGGATCTTTAAAGGTGAAATTTAAAAGTCCGAAATTACGAATACCGTGAGATACTAAAATATCCACATCACATTACAAGGGGATATTCGGAAAATATAAAATGTCAATTTATTTATTTATTGAAGAGGGTCAGAAACTATCTGCTAATATAAACTATGATTAAAATTAAAGGAAAAAAGGGGATATAAGAAATAATTAATAACTAGAGGATTGTAGGTACAGGTACATATATCTTACTGGCCATAATTTTAAGGGATAGTTCAGGGGATAGGGTATAATAAAGATTATTATAATTAGAGCATCAAATTCGAAAAGGGTCGTGTTGCTTTCCAGTTCCAAGTGCTTTGCAATATCCAGTTCAAATAACGAGGTTAGTAGAGACCACCAACCTTTTAAAGCTTAAGTGACTCATTGAAGACGCCAAGGTTTTTGGTGTTCTCAGCAACGTTTTTAGTAGTTTTTTAAACATGTTTAAACGCTAGAAATCGCCTGTAAAATGCAGTGAAAGATATTGTCGTAGAAAGTAGCTCGAATATGTCAAACGTGTAGGAGATGTGAGAATGAGAGATGTCTATCCGTGAGAATGCGTTTGAAACCTTCCCTATGGAGCCTTTGGCAAGGTTTAGCCAGAATGCGAACGAGTTTTTGTTACTGTTTCGCAACCGGCGGCAAAAAAATGGATACATTACAATAAAGTAAACCCCAAGGAACAGTCAAGCAGTAGTCCAAACAGGGTTGATTTTCGGCTAACAATTAAGACAAACAATTTTTGAAATTCAAATGGAATAGATTTTAACGGTAAAACGATCACCAAAAAATATTATTCAATACTTTTGGAACGGATCTAATTTATATTTTGGTTTTGATTACTTCTTACCTAAATAGATATTCCGCAAACTGTGGGACCCCCAAACTCATCGAACTCTGAACATTTTTTTTGCAGCTACAACCTGGAAGAGTTCTTAGAAACTATAATTGAGAGTACTTCTGAGAGCAAAAATCCAAAATAGATTGCACTATAAAAGTGTGTAGCATCACATTGTTCCGCCAACAATATGGGAGAGAAGAAAGAAGTTACTTCCTAACGTGAAAGTAGTTGGGCAATCAATAACCCACTGACGTTCCGTTCGGGGCACAATTGCCATGTAGGAGGCACTGGCCTATCTGCCATTCATGACCACAAAAAGGCCAAACAAGAATCTTCGGGTGGTCCTTAGAAAATTTCGCAACGAGGTAATTGCCAGCGACTACCAGAAAGTGGTCCGGTCCTCTCTCTTGGACGCCTCTGGGGGCCACCCAGAGAGCCCAAAGTGAGAAATTGAAATGTCTTTTGTGCCACTAATAGAGAAATATACGGGCCATAATTTCGCAATGTAACAATAGCTGGGCCAAAGGCAATTGAATGGAGAGCAGTGCGAAAACGCAATGAAAAAAAAAAAAACGAAAGCAATGAAATGAGCATCGAGTGAACGGACAAAATAAAAAATGGAGTCGACCGTCTTGGTGGGTAATAATACTCGTGGTGTTGCTGAACGGGTCTGGCTGCTACCTTTCCCAGCGCCAGTTCTGGGCCAAGCCAAGTGCGGTGAGTGTTTTCAACCCCTCGCCAGCAGCAACCCTCATCCCTTATTCACGCATAGGCAGAGTGAGAGGAGCGAGCGAAAGAGAGAGAAAGAGAGAGAACACTCACAGCGGTTGGCAGGGGGTAGTAGCCGGGGCTGACGTTTTATACAAAGTGTCAGAAGATCCATTTAATTGTGAAATTTATTGGCCAGCAGCAGCGACAGCGACAGAGGCAGCAACAGAAACAGAAACAACAGCCAGAACAGGAGACAGTTTGTCTGGCCCTCTTGTTGGCTTTCTTTCGGGCCATTCGTATAGTATGTTCTGCGGTTTTTGGAAATGCTTTTATAGAGAACAGGAACAGAGCCCACGACGATAGGGTCAGCCAACCAGTCTATAAAAAACCAAAGACAAATTCGTGTAAACAAACGGATTTATATGGAAGATACTCGTACTCGTATTCGTACAGGCGTAAGGTGCAGGCAGTACGAGCGTGGTGCGTGGTGCGTGGTGTGTGGTGTGGCTTGCATGTTGGTATTTCTATTGATAAGTCCCTTCGCTCGATAATGAGACTTTCCAGTTAATTATATTTGTACAGGCTGGGTTGAGGACTCTTGGTGTTGCACAAGATTTCCAGTTTAGTTTATCATCCGGGCGGCTTTGGCGGCATTACTCGTATTTTCCAAGGGTCGCCCGGCAAATCCTAGGCGGAAAAGTGGGTATGGCCCGAAACACGCTAAACGATGCCTTTATCTGCATAAACACTCTTAATAAGTCGATTGTCCGTTTCCTAATCTTGCTCCGGACTCGGGACCTAATGAGCATCTCCTTCCATTATCAAAATGCCATGAAAATGCATGCAATTTCTGGTCTAATCCTAACGCCGCGACTTGCATAATGTCTTCCTGTGCACACACAGGCCTCAGGGAGAGTACGTCACATGGTTTGTCCAAGTCCCCCCACACATGGCATCGGTCTCGGCCGGCCTAAGCTGTTTGTCCAGATAAACCACAGACACAGGACACGGACACGGATACGGACACAAACGGTCAGCGATGGCAGCGTAAGATCTCCGATCGCGAGAAAATGGATACTGAATGTACTATATGAGCATGAGTTTGTATGGATCTAAGAATCTCAACGTATACTCCCTCGAACCTCAATCATCATTATTATGCAATTGCATTTACCATTTACAATCAAACCAATAACCAATAACCAACAACCAAAACAAACCCCGGGCAGCGCCCAGCTGGGAGACAAGCCCAAAAGGCAAACAGTAGGTGGTGCCGGAAGTGGCATACAATGCCAAAACGGACGGACGACTTTTTGTGCAGTTTTCCCATCAACATGAGACCAACAAACTAATCAAAACTAATGATGACATAATTGTCTCGATCGGCTCCTAGGGAGAGCAGAGCAGTAACAGCAAATGCAACATCAACAGCAGCAGAAGGTGGCAGAGTCCTGTGCGGGTCATAGAATGGAATAGGAAGTGCCTGCCGCAGATCAGCACAAAGCCACACAAATCGACCTTTGTCCCGGCAAGGAAACAGCCATCAGTCAGAGGCGCTCACAAAGACGAATATGTATACATACGTTAAAATAAAAAAGGTAATTGATTCCTTTGCCAAACTCAATGCGATGACACCAAGATTTTGCTGCTCGCCGTGTGGTCTTGGTCTCGATCCGGTGCTGCAATTAGCTGGAACCAACCTATAATAGAAGGAAATATTGTGACATTTGGGAAAGGCGAAATTCTTAAGCAATTTATCAAAACGTAGGCACATACACTGCTTTTCTTCATAGTATAATTGGCTCTTTCTTCAGAGACTTTTCCTTGCGGATGTTGCCCGCGGCGTAGCGTGTGCTACTGCCAAGGCACATTTCCCCCGGGGTCGTCTTAAAAAGTTAACGGCAAACACCCTGATCTGATATATCAATTAGGAAACAACGAGCGTGTGTTTTGTATTTCTTAACAATGACTGTTGCTGTATTTGTATACACATAAAAAATGCATGGCTGCAAATGAGCAGAATATGTATCGAAAACAGAGTATGTAAAGGTCATTCGAGTATATAAAATGTATATAGTATATGTAGATAGTTGTATAAGTATATAGAGATACGTGCGGGCAGTATCTAATGCTTTGTTCCATCAAGTTTGTTTATGCAATTCAACATGCTTTTCAGACTTCAGCCGGCCACTGAAATATCTCAGCTTTTTCGGACATACATACATGTGTTGGTATGTATAAATATTCGATAAATATATGTATGTATAGATATGTGCGTATGCGGTACATGTTGGTGTGGGTATGTGTGTGGCCCTTCTTTTTGGCAAGCAAAGGCGTTAAGTAAGGCACAAGCATTTGAGCCACTGAGATTACTTGGTGGTCGCTACTCCTCCCCATATTCGAGTAGATCATTTGAGGTCCATTTAGGATTGCTTCCTTCTGCCTGTCCTAGTACAGCATTATGGCGGCCTGATGCTTGTCCTTGCTTTCCGGCTCCAGGCGAAGGCGGCGATCGCGACCTTCTCGGTGTCTGGCATACAGGAGAATGGTTATGTTGAGCAGCACTACAATGGTGGATATCACGACCAAGTAGAAGCTGTAGCCCAGGTAAGCCAGCCCAGTGCTATACCAGTGCTGCTGCTGGTGCTCGGTGAGAAGCACGTTGTGTATGAGATACTGATAAAACTGCACTAGCCATGCGACAAAGGCTACAACCTGCGCTCCCGCGGCTGACATATTGGCAGTAAGAATCAGAACCATGGTGCCACCTCTTTTGGCTGCCGATGCAGACTTTACGACAGCAGCTATGGCAGCGACGGCACAGGCCAAGAGGCCAAATCCAGTGCCCAATGTCGTAAGAAGCCAAAGCCAGAAGCTTGTGTCGCCGTTCTCAGTTTGAATGAAGGTGTAAACTAGCATGAAAATTAACCACCCATTATTTTTGGATCTTCTCTCAAATTAACGGAGGCTCACCATTAACCGGATAGGTCCGAATTCCAAATCCGAGGTCTAGGTGCTGATTTCCATAGAAAAGGCCAAAATTTACATCTCCTTTAGCCCTTGATGAAGTGTGTCGTCGCGGATGTGCGCGAACCCATTGGTTAGTGGTCAAACTCACAAGCAGCAGGCCGATGGCCAGACAGCTCCCAAAAAATGTGGAAAAGACCAACGCACGTGTGCGCATGCTCATCTTGATAAAACTTGTGATGACCGGTGGGAGGAGAAGGCAGAAATGGTTTTCACCATTTAGAAATCGTCAAAACGAAAGACTTAAACTGCAACAAAGAAAGTTTCGTTCGGTACTGAATGCGCCACAAATACGAAGTCCTGTCCACACTCACCATTTACGATTTACGGGCCGAACACAGGCGTAGTCAGACTCTTTGTTAAACTTTCCTTGTTTTATTTTGCCAAATTAATATCTTTGTTATTTGTCTTGTTACTTGTTTATATACGGTAACATCTTTTCTGTGAATTCTGTCCAGGGCTGGCAGAATTTCAGAGTAAAACAAGCCAAAATGGCTAAAGACGAAAATAAATAGGTTCAATATTAGGCAAAATAAATACTTTTGTGGTTGTAGTGTTTCATTTAGATTACATTTAAATTAGGAACATCGTCAACGTCGACAACCTCCCTTTAATAATTTTATACCTCACATAAATATTAAATTTAAGACAATTAAAAAATTTTTTATTTAATAAACTAACCTTATGAAACAATAAAATCGAGAAACTATTCAATATTAATATGGGAATAAAACAAAATGAATGTACATTAACTTATTCTAACTTTATCATAACCATATCACTTATACAAATTCTAGATATAGATTGAAATAAGCTAAAGTGTCAACACTTACTCTGTATATTTGCGCAACGTTCTGGCGCTACCAGATCGTTTCACTTTTATGCGATATACGATATATAGTGAAAATATTATTGATAACTTTCATCTGGACAGATATTAGCTGAATTAAATAAATTACAATTTTCGTCCTAAATAATATTAATAAAGGTGTTCTAAATTTGCGGCCTTCATATATAGCGCGATAAGTCGTGTGCAATTTGAGTTGATATTTCACAGCAATGACAACTCTGTGAAAATAGCGCGAAAATTTTGTCTGCTCTGCGGAAAAAACAAAGTGAAATTTCATCTAAATATGAGTAGCCGTAAACACAGGGGACACGAAAATATGGAAAATCTGTGCCCCGTCACCAGGTAACTATGGTGGCCAAATAGCCGACGGTAGGAGATGTCAGGGGACTCTTCAATTGAAATTGCATACCGTGACGTCACAGGCACTTGAACGAAAAGAGGTCAAAATACATATCGTTGACTAATTAAATTGTCGGGTACTTGACCTCTGTGCTGATCGAGGCACTTTCTTGTTATGTATTTATTGTAAATGCACTTCCGCCATCAATTGCAGAAAACGCTCAACAAGTAAAAGCCTCGCCGTAGCTGCGGGCGCTCTCCTTTCCGCCACAAAAACGTCTCATTACGAACATACTTCTTCGCCATCGGCACTAACCTACGAGGCCCTAGAAGAGATGGGTGTTGGAATGTTGGACTCCGAGGAGAGCAGCTCATCAGCCATGTCGGCCATTGCTCTGGTCGTGAGTACGAGTGCAACAAGCGATGACAATTCCAACGAGACTACGCCTCATGCCAATGTGGCTCGTATGTCGCATCAGCAGCCCCAACGGCTGAGTCTTAGCTCCACAGCCGACACAACGCTGGACAGCAGCGGGAGCAACACGACCATCATCGACGATGTGCAGCAGAAGCTTCAAGCTCTGGCCCAAGCCAAGCGCTCGGCTCTGGGTTCTGAGTGCAGCAGCAACTCGAACTCCCCCAGCAAACGCACGCGAAATCCACTAGTAGCAGTTTCCTGTAACAATCAGTGCGATACTGCAGCTCCGCTTAATATGCAGCCCTCCACCAGCAGGCAGGCTCTCCGTCAGCCCAAGAAGCCAACCGCAGCGCCTACGCCCCACTTGGCCAACAGTCTGGTGGGAAAAGACAGTTTCTTCGTGTATCGAACGGCCCCAATGAGTGCCCACATCAGCAGTGGGATAAACTACTTCGACAAGTTGTCAGATGAAATTTTACTGGATATTTTTAGATGGCTGCCAAAAAAAACACTCTTGCGGATGGCGACCGTGAGTCGACGTTTCAACCAATGTTCCCGTGATGAAACTCTTTGGACACGACTGGATCTCGGCTTACGCACGCTTTGTCCAGCTGCCCTCGAACAGGTTGTGCGCCGAGGCGTCTTGGTGCTGCGTCTGGCCCAGGCTAATGTGAGTGGTAGACTCTATATGTTGTCGTACAATGCCCTTCATAACTCTGTCATGTATGTATGTAGATACAAGAGCCCGCTTTCACACCATTGGCCTCCGACTTCAAGTGCCGCTTGCAATATCTGGACTTGAGCATGACTTCCATTAGCCGAATGTCATTGCGCACCCTTATATCCCAATGCCGCCAGCTAAAAAAACTAAGTCTGGAGAATGCAGAGCTAAATGATGAAATTTGCGCTGAGATTGCAAAAAACAAATCCCTGGAGGCACTGAATCTAACCATGGCCAGCGGGCTAACCGCCAGGAGTGTGCGACTGATGATGGAATCCCTCACAAATCTAAACAGCTTAAACATTGCATGGACAGATTTGAGTGCCGATGCTGTCACAGCCTTGGTCACACACATTTCATCCAATGTCATTCGCCTCAATGTGGCTGGCTGTCGACGCGTACTGTTTGATTCCCGTAAGCTTTGCCTAGTGGCCAATTTGTTTACCATTTATATTTCATATATCTGCTTTACTCCCTCAGATGTAAAATCGTTGCAGACCCGTTGCCCCCAGCTTCTAGAGCTCGATCTGTCGGACTGCAACAGCCTGACGCCAGCGGCCATTGAGGCAATAATGCAGTTCCAAATGCTGGAGTATTTGTCCGTTTCTCGTTGTTACCTTATTCCTGCGGCCAGCTTTATGTAAGTACACTTTCACCTCCCCCATTAACAACATAAGCAACCATTGGGTATTTCTGCTTCTCTTTCAGTGAACTGAAGGATATGTCCTCTCTCACGTATCTGGACATTTTTGGAATGCTGTCGGACGCCGCAATGGAGGCGCTTGAACAGCAGATGCCTAAAATGGGGATCAACAAGTTTATTCACAGTTCAGTTTCTCGACCGACAGTAGGATCGCGTCGTACCTCGGTTTGGGGGCTACGCACGAGGGACTAAATAACCCGTGTATCCTCTACCCAACCCAATACTAATTAATTTGTAGTCAGTTCGTCTGCTATCTGCATATGCTATCGCCTAGCGCATTTGTTTTATTCTCAATTCAATGAAATTAATTTAAAAACTCGTGATTTCACTCGTCCACTTCGCTGATTGGAGAAACAGGAGTCTCCCATTCCCATTCGTCCCAGCTGACACAGTTCTTGAGACTATCCACAAAGCCCATTTCGTCGGGGCACTTCATTTCGCTGGCTGGTTCGTTAAGTTCATCGCATTTCCAGTAGGACGTAGCATCCCAGTTGTTGCGGAAAACTGCTATTTCGAGTTCCGTTTGAGTCTTGCAGCCAGGCTGACCGTTGCCATTGTAGGCATCGACAACGCAGCAGGCAATCACGAGCAGAGAGCAGACGGTGACCTGAAGCTTCATTTTAAGATAAACTGATGGCGGATGTGGGAACTGAAATGCCTTTTATAGTTGCCTTGGTGCAGTCATATGCCACGTGAAGTGCACCCACTACTACCAGAAAATGCTTTCACAAATTGGCAGAAAAGCAAACAATCACAACAAAATGTAGAACTGATAATTTTTATTTTCCCCGCAAGCTCAAACATAAAGACCATGAAATATTACTGCAAGTCCAAGATAGTTCGAATGAGTCATGCAGTTGAAGTTCTCTTCGATTTCGAAATATTGAATTGGAAATATTGAGTAAATTAATGTATAATTAACAATAGTTAGTAGTGATAATTATCAACCTAACAGAAAGTAAACATTTGTTCGTATTTTAAAATATCGGAATTGAATCGGACATATCATGTAATACCATTAAAGATAGATTGAAGTATTGTACTCATGTGAATCAGGCTTCAGGCAGTCTTTCCTACCACATTTGTACACTCTTTTTGTCAATTATCTTCGACACTATAAATAATCTTAAGAATCTTAATGAGATCAGAAAGGTACGAGCATGAAGGAAGCTCCATTTTCTTTCTTGTTTGTTTATAATTGGTTATTTTGAATCGATCTGCTAGTGAGATGGGATGAGGTGTTGATTTGATTGGTTTCGGCCCCAGGCACCCAGTCCAAATACAGCTCGCCAATCTGCCATCTCCCAGTGTCTCGATACTCCTGTCACCCCTGAAATGTCTCGAAACCGTTCCCGTGCCTGGAAAATATACAAAAATACATATTAAAACAGCTCCGGCTCATTTGTTCAAACTTACAATTCAATCATCCATTTGCTACATATGGTGCGATAAGGATATGGAGAAATATCCCTTTTTTCCTTGAGTACTTCAAATTTATAAACCGCGCCATATGTATATCTTACCACCTCGGCTGTTCCTTTCTAACACCACGAGGTTCCAGAATATTCGAGACATGCGACATCAAATTGGATACAAGATATATAAAAAGACATAAATCAATAAATAAATACTATCTACCGATCCACCATAGATTGAGATAGGCCAATTTAGCAATTTCCATTAAAATTTAAAAAAACAACTTGTATTGTAATTATTCGGAGTAGTGTCATACGGTCATCTACCGATATCATTTTGGCGCCATTGCAACCCTTAAAGTAATTTGACTTTTTCAAAGTACGGCCACTCTTTTTACTTGGTGCCTGTCCACACGTAATTTTAATCGAAAAAAAATCTGCCAATTGCACAGATAAAATTGACAAATTCGGCTAGTGGAAATTATTCCGCCGCATGAAGATGGACGAAGGAATGGTATTGAAGCAACCTACAGACAGGCGGTTGGGCAATTCGGGCGATTTGCCCCCAGGTCCACCCGGCGTCGACGAAAAAAGTGGAAATGGAAAAGGCGAGGAGACAAATGCCGCGTCAGGGAAAAACAGCAAATCAAGCTCACGTCGTCGTTCAAATTCGCGACGCCGCTCGACATCTCGCCGCCGCTCAGATTCCAGAAATGCAGCATCGCCAGGTGCCACGCGCCGTAGACGTTCAATATCGCGCTCGCCAAGCCCTCGTCGGGGACGGTACGACTCTCCGGACTATGGCAGATATCCTGCACGGCGACGTTTCGATCGCGACCGTCGACGCTCGCCTGACCGTCGGCGCTCACCTCCTCGGCGTGGCAGACGCGACCGCTATGGCCGGTCACGTTCCCGCAGCAATACTCCTCCCCGCCGCGGAGGTCGCGGAATAAGTCCATCAAGCCGCTGGTCACCCAAGAAAAAACCAGCCTCTCCCCCACTACCTCCACCGCAGAGTCAGGGTGGACCACCGTCTCAAATGGCTCCTGCCTATGGCGTTATGGCCCCGCAAATGTATGCTCCCGGCCCGTATGGGGCACCACCCGATGTATATGGTCATCAGTACGGTATGGCGCCGCCAAATGTGTTTCCGCCTCAAGGACCGCCACCCGGATATGGCATGCCAGTGCCGCCAACAGCACAGACCAACTTCAATGCTGGTTATGGACCAATGACCACAGGCGCCTGGGTCGTAAATGGTAAAGATACCTTTTAGTCGCTTTTTGAAAACACGTTTACATGCATACACATTATGTGTATAGGGGAAAAGGGTATAATTTTCCGAGTCCTGCAAGAGTTATTTCTGACGATTTTGTCGCTTCTTGTTTTGCAGAGTACGGCCAACAGGTGTGGATGCCACAGACCCTGGCTGGGGTTCCGCCTTCTGCGCCAGAGGCACTTGTCCCACAACAGCAGCCAGTGCAGGAAGTACCGCCGCAGAAACAACTGGAGGACGAGGATAAGAAAGCGCCCGCGCTCGAAGGCGCAGGTTTGCCGCCACAGGATGGTAAGTGTGGAAATGAATTCTATTCTGGTCACTACGAAAATTCACATGCAAACCTCTCACATTATGTTTTATTATTGTTGTCATGATTACGCCCCTAACAAAAACTTGTATCTGTAACGTAAATGCGCGCAATTGGCCCGCAAAAAAAACTAAAACAAAAAAACATCAACAAAATTGCTGTAAAGATAATCCGAATCTAGCTTTAAACGCGCAGCCACAGCTAACGCTGACACACCTGGGCGAGGGCTTGAAAAATGACATTCCCTTTCGAATAGAAAACGCATTTCTTGCCGTTTTTGTGTAGTCGAAAAATCGCACTTCTTGAATGGACGCTCCTCGTCGTCACTCCAACATGCACTCCAACCCCAACGAGGACAGGCAGATCAGCCACAGACACGGCATGGTCAGACTCGATCCGATCCGATGCGATCCGGAGACCGCATCCGCGTGTAACTAGCCGCTGAAATGCACTCGAGAATGCATTTTGTAAATGAAATTTGAACTTGATTTTCTCTTGCGAAAATGCGTACTAATTTGCAACTCTCTTTTCATTCCCCCCCATCCATATGAATCGCCGAATGGCAGCTGTGGCCCAGGAAGCAGAAAATCAAAAGGATGAACTCAAGAAGCAACGCACCAACTACGTGAAGAAGGTGACCCTGCTCAAAAAGGAAATGCAGGTGCTGATGGATCAGCGTGAAGACTTGGTGGACGGCGACGGCGCACCGCCCTCGCCAACCACAAAGGCCTTCATTGAGGAAAATGATCGCCTGCAGGTTAGTAATATAATATAACCCCTAGGACCCCTTGGACCCCAAGGCTCATCTCACACTCACACAAACTTTTAATTGGCATTGTAGGTGCAGATAAAGAAGAAAGTGGACACCATTGAAAATGTAATCGACATGCTGAATGGCATCATTGGTGACGAGGAACACGATGACGAGCAGCCCTCGAGCATTCGCGCCAAACCGAATGTGAAGGCACCGCCAGAACAGGTGGCTAGTAGATCTCACACCTCTAGCGAAAGCACCGCTGATAGCTCCGACTCGAGCTCATCGGCTAGCAGCTCATCCGACTCGTCGTCCGAGGGTGAGGACGAGGAAGACGGCGACGGGGCCGGCGAAGGTACTCCCACAACTCTTCTGAAGCACCGAGCCATAAAATCAATGAAGTCGAAGCAGCGACATGGTGAAGCTACAACGAAACCAGCCCCAGCTCCAGCACAAAACTACAATTTTGTGTTTTTCGATCCCGAACAGCATTGGTGCGACAGCTGTGGAGTGTTCCCGAAAACGGCGCGCGACTATCTGAAGCATCTGCATGCCGAGGAGCACATGAATCGCGAGACAATAGAGACGCCCTGGCATGTGGGCATTGACCACGACCCCTATCCCACGTTTGAAAATGCGCCCATCAAGCGTGTGCCCGTACGAGGCATGCAATTCCTCGTCCCGGCCAACGCCTGGTTCTGCAAGCTGTGCAGCGTTTGGATTGGCGACCTGCACTGTGCCTCGGCGCATCTCAAGTCCAGGCTCCATTCCAACAAATACGAGGTGAGCATTAACTTTTGATGCTGTGTGGCATGATCTGGCATGTGTCCGCAGTGCAATGCATACAATAATAAGCAATGTTTATCCACCTTACAGCTCTTCATTAATCAAACGCCCAACTATGAATCTGAATGGATCGCCAATCGCGAGCGGGCTGTTCAACAACAGAAGGAGGACGATGCCGCGAAGAGCAAGAAGGTGAAGAAGGACGACGACAAGGTCTCCAAGAAGCGCAAGAAGAAGAGGTGAGTACTTTTGAGATGAATAATTGCTGAATAAATATTTAATATAATTCAACAATCTCCTTTCAGCGGCGAAAAGAAGAAGAAAAAGCGAAAGCATGGGAAAAAGAGCAAGCGAAATGCGAACAGTACCTCGTCATCCTCGGAAAGCTCTTCGTCGGAGGAAGAGAAGACGCAGCCACCCAAGAAGGTGCATGCCGAGGATACAGTGACTGTTCCAGCCGATAAACCAATCAACGCCTCCTCTATACGGGTGACCATGCGCAAGCAGGAGACTCCCTTGGCCACTAGGCCAGATGGTCCTTTCCAAGCCGTAGTGCCGCCCCCTCCCCCCATCATCAAGGATTCCATGAATGCGCCTGTTCGTGGCAAGTGGACACCTGCCGCCGGCGAAGAACATGCTGACGAGCAGAAGAAACGGGACGACGCCATGCTGCAGCAGTGGAACACTGTCCAGCCAGTAATCAGCGAGAGCGAGAAGAAGTTGCTGGAGCAGCTCAAGGGCAAGTTGAAGAGCAAAGGCCCGCGCGAGCAAGAGGAAAATAAAAGTGCTGCTCTGCCCGCAGTGCCCGCAGCTGAGAATAAGTCAATGCGCGGAGGCAGCCGTCGTTCCCGCAGCCCAAGGAGGCGCAGCCGTTCCCGTAGCACAAGTCGTGGCCGCATCGATCGGGATCGGCGAGATCGCGACCGCGATAGGGATCGTGGGCGGGACCGCGATCGTGAGCGCGACCGTGAGCGAGATCGCGATAGGCGTCGGTCCCGCAGTCGCTCACGCAGCCGCGGTCGCAGGCGCTTTTCGCGTTCCCCCTTGAGGACAAGCCGAAGAAGTCGTTCGCGCGACGTACGACGTCGTCGCAGCCGCAGCCGCTCCGAGGAACGAGTGGAGCGACCAGTGATCAAGCATTCCGAGTTCCGGCCCCGAGCGCAGCCTGAGCGTAAACAGAGTGAGAACAAGCGCGAGAAGAAAGATCCAGAAGCAAAGCCAAAGCCGCCGAAGAGCAGCAGCACTGCCACAATTGGAGGCAAGAAGCTGCCCTTTATCGGCAAGATGCCAGTATTCAAAAAGCAGCCAGCAGCAGCTTCAAGCTATGAAGCTCTTGCCTACACCAACGGCTCCTTCGAGGCACCTCCACCTCCGCCGCCCATGGGTGGACCAACAGCGCCGGTGGCTGTCCGGCACCCTGCGCCGACAGCCGCTCAAATACAAATGGCCATGATGGAGGACGCCTTTGGCAATGCCCCACCCTTTCATCCGGATGCCGGCATTATGGTTGACTACGACGAACTGATGCCGGATCCTGTTCAGTTTGCCAGTCTGATGACCAACTGCCCCCCTCCACCGCCCCCGGGAGGGGGATCTGATGGGGAAATGCACGAGCTGCAAGACGCCGAACAAGAAGCGAACGGCAATGATGAGGAGGATGTTTTGCCTCCCGGCATTGATGAGGTCGAAACCGATTTGGTGCCGCAGCCATTGGATGCAGCGGAACAGCCTCAGGACGGGGAACTGCCCAAGGATCTCGCCGAGGCGCTCGACATTATTTTCCCCACCGAGGGATTGGCGGGCGATGCTTCGGACGAGAACAGCCAGACACAAAGCGGCCCACAAACCATCACCACCATTGTCGAGGATGAGCCAGCACTAAACGAGGACAATCTTCAGGATTTAGCCAAGCAGGGCATTCACCTGGTGACCATTGGCGAGGCGGATGTGGAGGCATGTGCAGTCAGCTCACCCATGGAAATGTCCACTGAGGATGAGGAGTCTCAGCTGCTCAATGGGAAATCCGAGGCCGATAGTCTAAAACTATTCGATGCGGAGAACATACCCATGCCAAGCTCACCCCATGCCCCTGTGCCCGTTGTCGCCGCTGAGACAAAAAGCAAGGTGATCAGTGACCCCGTGGATCTTTCGGACATACCACAGCCGCCGGCATCCCCGACAGAGAGTGAGAAGATGAGACGCCAGGCGGAGCTGGACGAGCTGGCCATGTTGGGCATCGACAGCAGCGACATGGCGGCACAATGTATGTAGAGCGGCCATCTAACTGCTAACCCAATCGCAAAGCAAAAGCAAAGAAACACACAACAAAAACCAACACAAAATCATTGCATCAAATGAAACGACATACAATACACAAGACACATTTACTTCACCACGCATTCGTCCTTGTTCTGTTCTGTTCTTTTCAATATAATCTACATTTAATCCATCAATCTATCTATCTATATACTTATTCTTAGATGCGTTGTAAGGTGTTTGACATTTCCGCTAAACGGTAGCAGGCAGTCGTTTCACATGCACACGCCAGCGGATTCAGATCCACATCCAGATGCAGATGCAGATGGTTTGCAGCGATGGACGCCCCGGGATGGCCAAAAAGTAATCAGTTTGATCAGATTTTATTCTTAAGTTTGAACCGAACCTATGTATGAGTATTTATGTGACGAAAGGTTTTAAATAAATGCGCATATATGTATGTAATATATGTATGATGGAAACTAGAGAATGCAATGGAATAGTTACCGCGGAATGGAGTGGAGGTTTTGTGTGGTTACAAGTGTTTTTTCCGTTTTATTAAATGGCACTTAACAAATATAAATGGGTTCATCTAGTACAAAATCTTAGGGCCTACTTCCTTACGGTTATCCGGGCACTGGGATAAGCCCCCGGTCCGCTCGCTCGTATAGCCATTGCTAATATATTGCTATATGTTCCAGCTTTTGATTTTTGTTCTTTTCAATAGGTACATGGTTTCTCAGTTAGGTTGGTTAGCCTAGAGTTACAGCTACGCCTACAAGTTATACGATAACGGGGGGGATTTAGTAACAATTTGAGTGGGTTATGTCGCGAAACATGGACAATTTACATACGAGTAGCTGTGTGCGAGCCCCTGGTAGATAGAAACGAGTCTACAATGGAGGGCGAGGGTGAGGGTGAGGGCTCGGGTTTTTGCTTATGATATGGATTGAAGTGTATTTGTAAATAGTTTTGGCATGTTAAAAGTATCCTCGTCGTATTATAGTATGGGTATGAAGTTGGGCTATGCAAAGGTTAATGATTTATAAATAATTTTGAAACGAAAGGTGTGCAGTTTCTGAGTTTGGCCGCCCCGTCGATCCGGCTGCTATAAGTGGGTGACGCGTACTGCCCGCTGGGGCCGTTTAGCCTTTGCACTCCAGTCGGGGGCTCTTTGCTAAAACTATAAGTCCGTAATCGGTCCGTCCGCCACGCTGAATTTCGGTGCCGCTGTTGCTGGTGCTGTCGCTGCCGCTGCTGCTGCAGGGGAGGCTGCCAGTGGTGCGGCTGTGCTAGACATGGTCGGATTCCAATTCGATTGGTTGCCCTTGACCCGCACACTTAGGTCTTTAACCAATTTTTCAAGTCTACAACATTGTAATAGTAGTAGATGGAGGGATGGCCAGGCCACAACAGAGCGTAGAAAGAGAAGAACAGAAATGCAAAAAGTGGTAAGTGGTTATGATTAGTCACCGTATTACACTCGATTTAAATGATGAATAATGGGTGATTATGAATGGTGGTGGGGCTGATGGTGCATTTGAGATTATGCATGCATGAAAAATAATATTGTGCTTGGTTAGTCAAAGGAAATACAAGTAGAATAGAGCATAGACTACACCCACGCTATGATACGTTGATTGGCCTCCTTACGTGCGGCGGATGCTTCGCTGAGTTCGCGCTTGAGCTGAGCATGCTCCTTTTTGCGCGGCAACAGGGGCGGCGGAAGTGCGGGATCCGGATCCACATTTTCCCCAATCAATGCAAACGTGGGCGGGCTTTGCGCGATCTGCTGTGCCAGAGCTGAGGGTTGCGAGTGCTGAAGGTGCTGGATAGTGGGTGTGGGCATCCCATTACTGCGGGACTCGCTGCTGGAGCAGGACAGGCGCTTGGTAGTTGTCACCGATGCAGCCTCGTTGTCCTCCTCGATCTGCTCCTGCCGCTGTTCCTCCTCTATCTCGTCATCCTCATCCAGCGCGTGCGTAGCTTGTGCCGGTGTCTGGTGCATTATTCCATAATGTAGATTGAACGACTGAGCCCGCCGTGGCCCCGCTCCAGCTCCACCGCTACCACCACCGCCGCCGCCATTGGGGAATGGCTTACGCGATCCACGTGCCCGATCGTTTTCATAGATGATGTCGTGATAGGCCTGCCGCTGGTTGTAGCAGCTGGCCAGCGCCTGTCGCAGATACTTGTTTTCTGCCTCCAGATGCGACAGGCGCTTGTGTGTCTCCTTCCGCTCCAGACGCAGCTGCATCACGTGCGACTGCGTCCCGTGTCCGGGGGCATAAGAGAGGATAGGAGGATGTTGAGCAAGAGTGAGTCGAATAGCGATTTTCACTCACCTTCAGATCATCGATGTCGCGCAGTATACGAACATTACCCTCGTTCAGGGACCACTGACGCTCCTCGACCATTGATTTGACTCTAAGCAGAACGAAGATCACGTTAGCCTCTATATCATTTCCATCTCAATCTCAAAATATGCAGAACATACCGACTGAGGAGGGCATCCTCGCGCACTCGCGCAGCCTCCTTGACCTCGCGCACCACGTCGGTCATCATGCCGGGCGTATAGGCGCCTAGAAGTCAGAAATTGAGAATTAATCATCAAGTGCTTCGTGTACTTGAGCACAGAGGTGGAGGTGGTGCCGCATTGTTTCTACCTGTACCTGAATGAAAGGTGGGCGCCGGACTGTGCGTTCCACCGAATCCACCGCCAAACACCAGTGGCTGACTTTGTGTGCTTAATCCGCTCAAGCTATCTCTACGGTGCCGCATGCCCCCAGCGCCAGCGCCAGTGCCAGTGCCAGCAGGGCCAGCACCCGCCCAGGCCTGGCCGTTAGGCGCGTGCTTCAAAGCTTCGATATCGACTGTGTTTACGCATACGTATACGGGTGCAAAAGAATACATAGAAAGAGGGCATAGGGAAAAGAAAGTGGCAACAAATACAAATTAATTGGGGAATAGCGATACGATACGATACGATACACATGTGGATGGATACAACTGAACAAAAAACAAGAACATAAGGTTTGTGAAACAAAAGCCAAGAAGAGATTAGATGAGATTGGATCGGGTCAGATCGGATCGTAAGTTTCCCAGTGCTGCGGTGGGATCCCTGGCTGGATCTGTCGAGCCTGTTGGGAACGAACCTTTTGTTTCATGCAGATTGCGGCATATCTTGGAATTGGTATCGTGCAGCAGATTGATTTGCTCCATCAGCGCCGCAAAGAACTTGTTCTGCTGCGCCAGGTCGCAGCCGCTGTCGTTGGTGTTGGTGTTGCCATTGCGGCAGTCGGGTGTGTTCTGGCCACTCAGCTTGGAGTCGTTGTCTGAGGGATTCAGCAGACAGGGATCGCTGAATCGGAATCTGAAATTAGGGTCGTATTAGGTGGGACATATAATGTCGGCAATAATTTTCTTACCCTCTGCTAAAGTTTGGATTGCTTCCGTCCAGGACATCCGTGGAGTTCTGCTCATGCTCGGAGGTGGCGCCCCCGCCACCGCCACCCGCGCCTCCCATCATATTGACCAGGGGCGGCAGACTGGCAAACTCCTGCCCCCCATCGCCGCCATAGCCCATGCCCATGCCATAGCCATAGCCATTAGGGTAGCTCTGGGGCGGGAAGAGCATCGGATATCGATGGCTAAGCGCCTGCGAGTGCTGTGCGAGCGGAAGGAGGGAAGGAAACATTACTGGAAATGGCTCACGAAATCTAGTTTCGCCCTTATGGCTTCAACTCACGCGTTGAATCCCCAAGCTGAAGGGCGTGCCAGAGCCCATGCTATAGGGCTGTGAATGGGAGCGCATGAGGAATTGCTGTTGCTGTGGTTGTTGCTGTTGTTGTTGTTGCTGCTGCTGTTGTTGTTGTTGTTGCTGCTGTTGTTGTTGTTGCTGCTGAGCTGCCGCCTGAGTCACAAAGATTTGCTTATTAGCCGTTGCTGTGGGCGGAGTAAAATCGAGGAATTCGGAGGATGACGACAGCTGGGCATTGGTAGCATCTCTAAGGCAATTCTCCAGCCAGGCATCTAGATGATCCTTGGAATAGTTTGGGCCCGTTCCATTACTTTTGTTCGCACTGGCACTGGAACTGGCACCGCCTCGATTCGTGTGCGAGGGAGCTGTCGTTGTGGTCGGAGTGGACGCTGACGCACCCACGCTGCTCCGTGATTTGAGTTTCTTGCGCTTGGTGGTATCCAGCACTGAAAATAGGCGACAAAAGAATAGTTACAACTGGGCAGAGATTCTCGTTTACCAATGTCCAACTGCCTAAGAGAGAAACTGATTAAAATAAATATGGAAAAGCCCTCACTGTTTCCCGTTTCCTTCTGTGAGGCGCTGCAGCCAGTGCAAAAACGCAAATGACTCACAGTAAGAGCCCCGATGCAACTGACTATTCAATTCAGTTAAGCTCAGCACCAGCCCCAGCCCCGGTCCGACTCGACTCGACTTTGCCTCGAATCGACTAAGACTCGACTCGACTCGGGTTCGCCAAGTTATTTCAGCCCACAAAAATGTCGCGGGAGCGGTGCTCGCTCCAGTATGAAAACGGGTTTCGCTCGCCGTCCGCTCGCACTGGTTGATCATTTGTTGTCGGCTGTCGGATTTTGCCTGGGTCTCGGCTAGGTAAATATTTAGCTTTTGGAAATTCGAGTGCGAGCGTTTTCTCTTGGCAAAACGGCTGCCACCCTGTCACCCGACTGCGACTGATTTCATTTGCGAACCGGTACGTCGATACGTCGGGCAGAACTATGCAATGATCTTGGAGCGCCCGAAATTGCAGCCCGCAATTTCAATTGCGTAGTCAGTGCTCAGGATTTGGCCCAGGGCCCTACTCCATTATCGGAGCTCCCTACGGGCGCATTCCAGCGACATGTGCGAGCCGATCAACGTATCACAGTCCCTCCCTGGGGCTCTGCGCTGTCCGTTTATATTTAGCCCAGATCAGAGGGAGCCGGTTGCTGCGGCTTCTTGCTCTGTGCCTGTGTCTGTGACTGTGCCTGTGGCTGCTCTTGTGCGAGTGGGAGTGTCTTGGCTTCGGTTGCGGCTTCGGTTCTTCAGCAGAAGGGTTGGCCATGGGGGTGCTATAAATAGCCTGGCATCGAATTATCAAGCGGATGTGGACACTCGCGTTCTTCCTAAACGGTGGTTGGTTCTGCTCGCAAATGTGGGATATCTTTCAGACTGCCTTCTCTAGCACATATGTATGTATTTATGTACAGTATCCACGAATGTGTACAGAAAATCCGCATATCGCAAAGAGTTAATACGCTACGAGTTAATACGCTGTCCTGTGAGGACAGACATACCGCTTTGCAGTGAATTTCTCCACAGTGTACATTGGGGATTCTCCCTCAAGGTCGCGTTCCCATTGGATTCCATGCTTGCGTAACATTCCCCAATTCACCCAGCCCATTTGCGGGCTAATCGCTTGCCCCATTGTTGCAGCATTCACGTCACTTACCCAATTTCAATGCCAGATCAGATCAGAACAGATCAGATCTGATCGCGTGTACGGTAGTTGTATCATAGCAGACCAAACACCCGAAATTAATTCAATCACTGACCGTAAACACGCATAGACAGGCACGGGGAGGGAAGTCGTTTGTGCCGCATCACCAGGTGATCCGCACACAGCCTGCCCTTGCTAATCGCAAGCCTTTTCGAAGGCCTCAGTTTCCATCCAACTCCACAGAAAGCATTGGCAGAAAGCAATCGATTCATTTGACTTAATTTTACTGAATGGTGCATCTATTGAGAAATGAATCTCTGGAGCATCAATCCCAAAAGAAACTCTTGGACTCATGCTAAATTATACCCGTACTTATACCCGAACTACTTGACGCATTTGAGAGGCGAAAGAATGTGAAGTGAAGCCTTGAAGTATGTTCAATATAAGGCAAGAGCTTCGACTTAAATGATAAATATATTTACACAAATTTCTTCGAATTATTTCAAATCAAGAAACCAATAAAGCTCATTCCGAGGGATCACCTCTACTTTGCGATCCAGAATAGGAAATAAATATTGAGTGAATTTTGTATTATTTCAATACAGTAAGGTATCTTGTGGTCGAAAGAGTCTACCAAGCTGATCTGCTTAAGACTTAATTAATAGAAGTTTGTGACAAATGATTAAGTACTTAAACGGCTCCACGCGAACACGCGAATCCAACACGTATTCCCGACACAATTCCGCATAGAAGTGGGCTCCATGTGGTACTGGTACTCCCCCTGCGAGATCACTTACAAATTGTTTGGATGGCTGTTTGGCGTGCATGTCGCCATGTTATAGAGAGGAGGATAGGAGACCCGTCCATTAAGAGGAGTGTGTGTTCGCGTCACATCGCGTGCCGAGGTGCCGCAGTCTTGTTCAACAAATTAACAAAGCATTTAACTCTTTTTAGCTACCGTTCTTTCCCCTTCGTTTGGGGCATCAGCCTCACCTCTGTTGCTGCTGGGCGAACCAACGCCCGGGGCATTCTTCTGGAGACCGCTGGTGCAGATGGGCGCGGGAGTGACGCTAGAGCTAGAGCTGGTTGCAACCGCCTCTGTGGCACCGGCTCTGCTAGAGTCCACTCCTCCTCCTCCTCCTCTTCCCCCGTTCGTGTTGATCTCCATCTGGGTTGTGGTTGTCATTGTTGCCGCTGAAAGCGATTGCCGCAGCGCAGCTCCTGCAACGGAAAGAAGACAAAGAATGAACTTATTATTCAATATCGTTTTACCCCTCCTATGACTCCGGCGTTCGACCATGAAAACAGCACTGGAAAAGCCGGCAAGCAAAGATGTTTGCAGTTTGTGAAGCGAGGGGAACGGACAACAGAAGTGCGAGAGACGGGTTGTCGGAGCGACAAGGCAACAAAGGCACAGCAGTGTGCAGCGTGTACACTGCACAGGGCCGGAAGACACCTGCCCCTTTTCTTTTTGCACTGGCAGCAACTTGAGCGACTCCGAAAGCTTAGAATGGTGGTTGCAGGCACAAGTTACATATTCTTGCTGCTGCCGCTGCTGTTGTTGTTGTTGTTGTTGGTGGCACGGCCCTTCCTCCACTTTGTTGACGAAAAGTAAACAAAGATATGACACGGAAGAGCACCCATCCCCCAAGTTAGTAGTCAGTCAAACAGACATACATATGTGCATATGTAAATGTATGTAAAAATGTAGTTATGAAACGTATTGAATGCACCCCTAAGCAGTCGCTTAGGTCCCTGGGGGCCACACCAATTGGCAAACGCTATGTGCATATATATGTACGTACTATGTAAAGGGATCGTTGAAAGGGATCCACATTCTGACCATCGAATGAGCCTCTGAATAAGCTGAATAAATGGTCGAACATATGTACATACATATGTATGTATTCTGACGTGTGTGCCTCAGAATTTAGTTAAATTAAGTTCTTTGGGGAAAGTTACATATTACAGATGTACATGTGTATGTATGTATGTATGTACAAGCATTTTCATGCCCCCCAGAGAGTCGCGGAAAAGTTGAAGTTGAATGCTGGGTTTCTTTGAAAGCTGGCTCCCATTTATGACAGCGTAATTGCCAGGCCGTTAAACGGGGAACATGGAAATGGAAATTTTTGAGGAACATGCTGCTCCGCGGCCCATCCATTCCGGATGGAAAATTAACAGAGCGCTGCCACGCGTTAGCTGGCGGGTCCGGCGACTGCGGCAATTATGCAGCTACAAAGTGTTAGTAGATCCAATGCCACCACATGCACCCACGCCACATACTCTTGGATACACGCAGATCCGTACTCCGTTTGGTCTGATTACAACGGTCAAAACCAGTTTGGGCCAAAATGATTTGAAGCAATAACAGTGCACGACGAAAGTCAAGCGACGCTTTTTGCTTTTTCCACGCTCGTTGGATACAAAGATGCAGATACAGAGACAGTGCATGATTGTAGATACTGTACACAGATACGTAGATACAGGGAGACGGCCTTTGTGTGGGTTCCAATGCCAATGCCTTTGTGTGGCTAAAACAAATTTAAGCAAGAGAAACAGACCAAATGGGACGCATCGACGTTTCAATACCCTTTCTATGAACTATTTTCCGTCGGTGCAGCTACCTAACAACTATACGGCTAAAACTAATTATGATTTTAACTAATAGTACATGCAAGGATAGCAAGTTATATGGAATAGAGTTCGTGGGTCGGTGAACCAACGTTGCAAACGTCTGATAAAAAGGATAATGCTTCCTGTAGGAAAAGGGCATGACAACGAGCAAACGAGATAAAAAGACACTAGGAAAGAGAGGAAGAGTCAGACACGGCACGTTTGGTCATTAAGTATACCAAGTATCTCAAAGATACACAGCCCTCCCAGCCCCTGTACATTCCCATTGAAATGTATCCACACAAACACAAACACTAACGAGCGCAAGCAGCCAGTTGTTGTTGTTGTTGTTGTGATTCTCCATTCCATCGAGACGAAAATGAATTAAGTTTTTGCTTTTCTTGGGTCTCGCGAATCCGAAGCAAAGGGAAAGGCCAAACAAAGTACAGAGGAAAAGCAGGGCACAGAAAAAGTTACAAACATCGCAACGACAGCGCAGCGACAGCGACGACGGCGCTTAATTTAATTTCCGATAGCGCAAAAATGTTTGATATCATTTAAGTGATAAGCACGAAACGAGTGTCGTTGTTTCTGTGAAATACTCGTGTAAGTAATCGGAAGATCGGAATTCCGCCATGCGAATATCTGTAATGGTGGTTATTGCCGCCTAAACAGCTATTTAAAAACATTATAATAATATAAAGGGATTCCATTGCAATCATTTCTGATTGTGGTTTACAGTACAGCATCGATATAAACTACTTTTCAATCTTATCTCTTCCCTCGCAATCACACAGGCCAACGATGGCATCATGCATCAAGTCTAAGGCGGAATGTTTCATTACTTTGGCTTTGGCTGTCCCTGAATATCTGCGCGGCAAGGTGAGATTCAGCTCCGTCAACAAATAAAAAACGCCGAAACATTCGTGTATTTTTTTGGCTCAAGTTCTTGGCTATTGACACGATGCCAAGAAAAAAGCGCATGCCGCAGTGGAAAAGCAGATGAAGATGAATATCTATGGATGGTGGGAAAAAAAGGGGAAATCGCTAAAATATAATGGAATGGAGCTTGAACCGTGAGAGAGCCCGAGAGATACAGGGAGAGAGAGAGGAGTATGGGAGAGGGAGTGGAATCTATCAGTGGAATCTAGACAGCGGGGTTCACGTTCACCAAAAATAAAGCATTTCGAACCGGTTTTTGGACCAATAGTATAGTCAAGCATTTCTCCCCCAATAGATGGGATCGTGTGTATGAGTATTCATTCCACACATTTTAATGACAACGATAAAAACAAAGCAAAATGAACTGCCATTCAAGCGAAGTCGGTCTCGGACATGGCCATGGCCATGGAGATGGAGATGGCAATGACGACCCCACCACCAAATCACCGGACGCCATCAATGAGTGACTGCACACACACAACACACCCCATACACACACAAACACTTCGAGAGCGGGAGCGAGTCGCTTGGTTTGTTGACCCGCGCAGAGCAGAGCATTCGAAAGATCGAAGAAATACTAATCAATGAAAGGAGACAACGCGATGACCAAGCCATATGCGTTCGGCAAGGAGTAGAGATGGGGCAAACGCGTTGCAGTGGAAGTGTCATTGCAGCTGCCATTAAGAAACCAAACAGTAGGCAGTAGACTGCAGACAGCAGACTGATGGCTATCCGAAAGTAGTCGCAGAGACCAGCACCAAAAGCGGGCAAATGCTCACTGACAATGTCACATTTGGTCTGCTTTTGTGGCGGGGACTACGACTACGACTGCGACTGTGCCTGGGCCTGTGCCTGCGAATGACAACTATCGAGTTTCCCCATCCACCCTCGCTCCTCCTTTTCCATCGCACGAAACGAAACTGAAAAGCTAAATTATGTGTGTGAGATGACGTCGTCGACATTGCCATTGCCATCGAAGCGACTCTGGGGCGGCTGCTACTGACTAGCTAGTGGGAGCAGGGGCTCATGGTTGGTGTTGTTGCGCCTGCATGCCTTTGAATTCGAAATGGGTTTCTTAAAGCGGAGCGGCTCAGCTAAACACATTCTCAAGGTTTCAGCAGATCGGTGCAAAAACACATATTTCTATGGCTAATTATCAAAGTTACCTACGCGTTGCAGCCGACTGGCAATTGGAGCAGCAGTTGGGGAGCAGGAGCAGGTGCAGCTACAATCTGGAAGATTGCCGCTCAAAGCAGACTAGTCCGAAAGAGAGCACCGAGTGATAAAATATATGCTAATTAGCTGACTGCTCAATGGCATTTCAATTTTTGCACACAAACACACACGCACACATGCACAATGGCATTGGAAATTTGAAATTCTTTTGCGTCACACACGATTTTGTATTGAATTTCCGTACAGCGCGAAATGATTGATTTGGAAATTGTGAATCTCGGGGAGACGACAGCTGCAGGGCAGCCAAAACGGTTTTGAATAATAACCGATAATTAAGAGCAATTCGCACAAAATAACGGAGCCCAGAGTTAAAAAAATTTATGTTTTGTTCAGCGTGACCGCACCGATAACGATACAAAATACCTTCCTGCCAAAAAATAAATACCGTTAAATACCATTTCAGTTTCGAGAAATACCATTGAAATACCATACCATAAAAAAACCAGGGCAAAACGAGACTTAACCCACTTAACACCCCTCTATTTAAAAAGTTGAGCACCCTTTGTTTAACCGCGGGATATAATACTGTTTGTAAAGGCTCCTTGTAGCTCCGTCCTCCTCTTTACTTACAAAACAAAAATGACCACCGATATCTTTCACCTGTAATGCGTAATATATGTTAAGGTTACATAAATTTCGTGGAAATACTAAATACCCCCCTGGTTGACAATGGGATAACGTTCTATTTTATTGATTGAAATCGTATTCCATGATTTTGATATTCAGTTTTATATTACTAGCTAGTTAGCCCTCTCAGCCCTAAAAAAATTATTTTATCCAATTTCTCAATAAATTTTGTTCAGGATTGGATAGTTTTGAGAACTCTTTTTCACTGAATTTTTTACATAATAAGGTTCAAACAAAAACGGCCAAGTTTCAACCAAGTTTCTTCTATGCGTATGGACTTTTGTATACCGCATTTCCTTTAATTGCAGCTTGTTTGAAACATTTATATTTTTTTTATCTTAGATTGAGATGTGTTTACCTATAAATGAATATGTTTTGTGTTTTAGAAATACATTTATCCCGGTTGTGATACCTATTATTGGTACCCGTGAGCTGCAAAATTTAGATAAGTTAGATGGTTAGATAAGGGTGTGGATGGGTCCGCTACCGCGGGACTGCCGTTAGGCATTACTTCGCGGTGCGGACTGCGGATTTAGCCTGCGCAGCTCCTTGATCACGCATGCTCTGCATCCTCGTAGACTTCAGGCCCGCAGTAGCTGCACTATGGGTCGTCAGCATGTCTAAATCGGTGCAGGTACTGCTTGAAGCAGCCGCTTCTGCAGTCTCTGCTGTACGTGGGCACCCTCATTGCTGGAGTTCACACTGCCGATCCATATAGGATTATAGAGGCCCTCCTGTATTGGCCATCATCCTACATATGGCCGCCGTTGCTGTGGCTGCTTTCGCGCTGGCGTGTTCCAGGTGGGCCTTGAATGTCAACCTCTGGTCCAGCATTACCCCTAGGTATTTCAACGCAGGCTTGGTCCCGATGATCGTGCTGCCGACTCTCACGATCGAGAGACCTTCTTTCTGCGGCTCGACCTTCTTTCTGCTGCTCATTAGCACAGCCTCAGTCTTCTTCTCCGCCAAGGACAACCCGTTAGCTGCGATGCAGGATACTATCTTCCCGATTGCGGCGCTGCATTTCTCCTCTGCATCTTGTATGTGTTTCGCCACTGTCACTAGTGCGATGTCATCGGCGAAGCCCACCAGGGTGCACGCCTCCGATATAAAATCCGTTACAAAAGTAACGGTTTACCTTACGCGTTTTCAACTTTCAGCCAATCAATTCGTTCGAAATTTTCTGTAACCAAATGTGGTTTTCTGGGCAAATCCTAAAAAATGTTCGCGCGACCATGAAACAAGAAAAGAGTACCGAATATTTTTCTTCACGAGTCCGCTGAGTACCAAAAAAATATCCATTTTTTAAATCATATCATTAATAATAACGATGAAGCGGATTCATTGCTGCGACGTTCCATACGCGTTCCCGTGAGAATCATGCGGCTCACACCACGAAAAAGAGGGGGAAGTCACCACGAAAGCGCTCTCTTCACCTCGAAAAAGAGAGAATATTTTGAAAACCCACCACGATTTGAGAGCGAAAAATGTCAGTATTTTTTGTGCGCTAAATGGAGTTTGGCGGTCATTTTGAAAATTCTACGGTGGGTTAATCGTTGAATGTTCATGATCGGAAATCATATTTCTCGATTTTGATATTCGGTTTAATATTACTATCTAGATACGACCCGCAACACTGAACGCATCATTTTTTAAGATTGAACAATTTTACTCTACGATTGGCCAATTTTAAGGATTCCCTTTTATTGGATTGTTTACAAAATAGGGTTTAAAAAAAAATTCAACACGAAATAAAAGCATTTAACATAAGTGTGATGGAATAAAACGTAAGTGTGTTTGAAATGTTACGTCAGATATGAGTATGACTATTTCATTAAATTAATGCTTATATTTTTTTCCAAGCTGCTTTACCTAATTGATAATTACCTTTTCTCAGATTGATATTTTTACTTATTCATGAATTTAATTAGTTTCCTGTATCTGCATGTATATATCAACCCTCCTTGTCTCTGTTAGACCATTTGCTGCTAAATTTTGTTGAGGTAATTCAAACAGAGACTAGCTGGATATATCCCTTTCCCAAGGGTGTTTATATAGAATGTTCTGAATCCGCTCAAGGTGAATTTACTTATAAGGTGTTGTTATCACCCATCTGCTCTCTTTCGAGGACCATCCGTTTAAACCCACGAGAGAGAGCGAAAATTTAAAAAACCTGTAGATAGATAGCATAATGATAAATTAGTAGATTGAAAAAGTTTTAAAATTGTATTAGAAAAATTTACGTAATTAACTTCTCTGTAACAAAAGTTGTATAAATAACTTACTAATATTTATTTAACAATTAGTTAATTTATGTTACAATTAATAGTTAGAGCCAGAGAAACAAACCACAAGCTAATATTTATTTCCATTCATTTTTAAAGTGACAATTAACGACGATTAAAAGTATTGATTGGACCTTCGATCTCGAAACTAATTCATCGATATGGACAATAGCGCATTTTCCGGATTATCAAATATATAAACAATATATCATCATAATTACAAATTATTATTATTTTCAACTAGGCAGGTTATTTTTAATACATACTTGTACTATCCAATCTGAAGAAAACTTGGATATCAACAAAATCGTAAGCAACAGTTGGTTTAACAGATTCGAAAGTTCTTCCTCAAAACTAGCAGATACGAAAAGCTTTTCTGAAAAATTAACAGAGCAGAGAAGTACTGTTATACATTATATGTAGTTGCCGATTTTTACATACTTAACATGTCGAGAAAAAAGACGAAATATCTAGATGGTACGTTTTAAATCATCGATATCGCGCATTTTTTTAAATCGCTATATTTACTAAGATTACAACCATTAAATAATATAATAAAGAATTAAAGATTTATTACCAGTTTTTCGTTTATACATCTTTTGTATTTTTGTATCGGTTGGGTTTTATACGTGGGCTGTTGGTTTACTCCAATACTTGGTTTTTGGTAAAATTAACCGCTGCTGCAGGTCATCGGGATCCTGCAAAATATAATTATATAAAACGAATAGATAATAAAATGGACAATAAGAAAATAAAAACTGCTTACCCAGCTGCTCCTACAGTCGGAATAGGTCGGCATTATCTGCCAAGCGCGTGTGTATCTATTCTCATCATATATATAAAGATTCAATGTAAATATAGAACTAGAACTTTGATTTATTTATTTACCAAATTGTAGAGAGGATAGATATGTAGCCGTTATAATATGTATCGATATTTTCATCGAAATAAGAGAAAAAGTCAGATGTCATGTGCCTTGTGTCATGTAAAATGTGAATGTAATGTAATATCTGCCCTGCCGTTGTGGTATCCATCATCGGAACAACAGTACCCTCGTACCTCTGAGGTGTTTTTCCTGCCGTCCGTGCAACGGCAGCAGCATTAGCAGTATATACAATTCCCGTGCCGTTTCATTTTTTATTTATAACGCGCCCACTGTCTGCTCCACACGCCTCGATAAATTAATTACTAAACCACTAATCTAAATAAACCCGCCAGTGAAGCAACTTTTGATCGCTTGATATGAAATTTTTGTGAAAGTGAATTAAAGTAATTTCCAAAATTGTGTGTGAAACAAGACTTTAATGAGATTAAATGGCCAACTCAGAAAGGAGTCGTTAGAACTCATGATGGAAAATTACTGCTACAAGCCATCAACGCTGCAGCAAAACATATTATTCATTGTCCTGTGAAAAATCGATTTTAGTTATCCCGTGCTGTCATATCCCGAGCTTTCGCTTTCACCTTCACATTGTAGTGCAAACAAAACCTAGCAGTCACCAGGTCACTGTCACTATTGATGAGGTTCATGTAGCGTTGAGGAGCGTTGGACTAACTACCATCTTACGCATGAACAAAGATGATTGTTACATCTGCTTCTGGCGTGGATAGCACTCCTACGTTGGGTACGTTGCTCTCTCCTCACTCTCACTCCCTTCACTTATTGCTTACTGATAGCTGCTGATAGGTGGTAGCCATGAGCCCTGCCATTCTATTCAGAACTATCACGATTCGATTATAGTGTTTCTGAGTATGAACATAATGTATGTATGTATGTATTTGCAGGTACGGTTGAGGTTACCACTCTCCTGGGAGTATTTTTTGGTGTTCTCGTCCTTCTGCTCCTGCTATTCCTGTACATTAGCCGCAAGTGCTGCTTTCACCATCGACATGGCATCAACTGCTGCGACGAGCGTCACTTAGCAGCCAAATGTGTGCAGAAGATCAGTGAGTATTAGGGGACTCGGTGGGGGATTTTCGATTTGGGGCCATTGGCTTGAATGTAACCGTTTGTTGCAGCACGCAAGCGACGCTACGAGAACACGAGCTCCGACTCGGAGGAGGACATCCTGCGCCGCCTGCGATGGCATCAGCAAAACCAGCACAGCGACAAGCCCATGGGCTACGGGATGAGTATCAGCCAAGCCAACCCCCTGACAGCGCACAGCTTCAATTATCATCAATCCGACGCTGACCTGCAGAGGGTGACCGTAACGCGTGACCCTTTGGCAATTGCCGAACGGGGCAAGGTCGGCATTCCATCGTCGCACAGCGAGTGCAGCTCGAATGACTCCATGGAGGCATCTGTGGACAGTCATACTGGCATCTTGACGGGCGAGACCAAGGGTAAACTGTCTTTATCACTTCAGACATGACAACTGACAAGCAACGTAATTTATCTCGACGCAGCTCATCCAGTCACCGCCTTTAGGAATCCATACACGGACAATCGGGCCAAGACACACTCCCAGAGATACCATCACAGGGTTGAGGTTTTGGCGCCGAAGCTGGGGAAGGATAATCCTGTGGTGGTGATGCCTGTGGCCAATAGTTTCGTTAACAACAATAATGCTTCAACTCCCAACAACAACAACAGCAACAGCAGCAACAACAACGATGACGTAAGAGTGAAGAAATCACAGATGAACAATTATATTACCCTTAGGCATTCTCCTATTCCCTCACTCTTGCAGGAACCCCTGTTCGACACCAGCGATCTGCGCTCTGTCAAGTCGGATGACATGTTGGTGGTCGACTCGAAGGCCTTAGCCTCGCGAGGACCCATCGAACTGGAGATGTCGCTGCTGTACGACGCGCCGATGCGGAAAATGACGGTCCACGTGATGCAGGCGCGGTGTTTGCCGCCGCTGGGCAACGGCCAGCAGACGCACACGCAGGTGCGCATGCTGATGCTGCCCAATAAAAAGCAGAAGCACAAAACCAAAATCCGCAGCGGGGAGAATCCGCAGTACATGGAGAGCTTCCTGCTGCACCGTGTCAATCCCGAGGACGTTAACAACATGGGATTGAGAGTGCGCCTATATGGCTGCGAGCGACTGAGAAAGGAGCGCTTGATTGGGGAGGCGTATGTAAGCTTTGCCACGGTGGACCTAGAGCTCGAGACCAACCTGTGGCTGCCGCTGGAGCCCCGCAACACCTCATCGGTGCTAGGATCGACGAGCGATCTACTGAGCCTGGCGCGGTCGGAGAGCGCGGGCTCCACCTCATCCATGCAACACGGCGGCGTTTCGGAGCTGCTCCTGGGCCTCAGCTACAACGGTGTGACTGGCCGGCTGAGTGTGGAGATAATCAAGGGCAGCCAGTTCCGCAGCCTGTCGTTGAATAAAGCACCCGACACCTACGTGAAGATGGTCATGGTTAGCAGCATTGGTCAGGAGATTTCGCGCGCCAAGACCTCCATTCGCAGGGGCCAGCCCAATCCGCTTTTCAAGGAGACATTCGCGTTCCAGGTGGCCCTGTTCCAGCTCAACGATGTCACGCTGATGATCTCGGTGTATGCCAAACGACACATGAAGAAGAACGAAATGGTCGGATGGTTTAGCCTGGGTCTAAACTCATCCGGACCAGAGGAGGTAGCCCATTGGGCGGACGTGTGCGAAATGCCGAAGGGCGAGATGCTGGCCCGCTGGCACGTCCTGGTGGATTCCTGATTCGAGCAGTTGGGACAGTCCTCGGGACGCAGCAGCAAGGCGCTCAGGAAACTGGGCTTCGCTGCGTTCAAGGACAGGTCCAAGGATAAACTTGCCAAGGAGTCGAGTCGGGATGAGGACAGCGATCAATTCCCTGCAGACAATGCGGTTGCAGTCGACATTGAGCCGGGCCTGGAGCTTGATTTTGTCTAGAAACCAATTGGCAGACTGCTCCAGGGTCAGTATACATTTTGTGTCTTGTTTTAACGGGGTGCGGCAATCGATCGAATCGAATCGAAGAAGATTGATTGACTTGTGCCTGTGGCAGCGTGTTTAACTTAACCATGGGTGAAACCAATTGAAAAACCAATTTTTGATATCTGAACCGTAATGTTTGGATCTAACCCTACAGAGGGCTAAAAAATATTTGTAATTTGGAAACAATTTGGAACACATTTTTTGATCAAATGTGAAATGTGAAAAACAAAAACAAAAAAGGAAAAAATGAAACCTAGAATATTGAATTTTTGTACGCATTGGTACGTAAAGACCATGAAAGAACATAACTTATTACTCAAATTTGAACTTTATAATTGTTTGTGATAATGAATACTATATGAATAGCATAGCCCAAGGGGCAAGCGATACGATGCATACGATACACAAGAGCAGGAGTGTGTATTGTGTTTGGAGGAGACACGTTCTCAGATGTTCGAATGGCGAATTTTTGTAATTAAACCTTTCTGCATATTAACTTAAAAAATATTGATTCCCGCAGGGGAACCCCCAATGTCTTATAGGACTAGCACTTTTGTATTACCAAGCAACAAGCAACAAAAAAGAAAAGTATTAAAACAGAAAATACTCGTTAATAGGAGGAATTATAGTCAATACATACGACACATTCATACCCACAAAAATGCATACATAAAACATAACTAATTCTTGAAATTTTTATCGAGAACCATGGTCATGTTCCAGTTTTGATATGATGATAAAAATAAAGATATAGAGATGAGGATAAATATCGGTACCTTAGAATTCAAACGCACAAAGATCTATTGTACAACCGAAGGAAAGCTGGCAGACGGAAAGAGTTGATAATGATATACTAAAACCATATACATACTAGTGCTAAATGCAGGCTGGAGGATTGATATTATTACCGTTCGGTTTGCATATATTGTTGTATGTATATCAAACACCGTGGTCGATCTGATACCATAGATCAGATCAGATCAAATAAAATCTCCTTTCGAGGTTCGGTACGGCAAGGTTGCATTGTGGTTGAACCTCCCCGGAATAGGAAAGAGGAAGGGAAGTAAGTTTAACTTATACACAGAGAAAAAGGAAAGCTTTAATAAATATCGGATCTTAATTATTTTTTAATTGTACATTCGAATCAAGTTGAATCAAAGAAAACAGAGAAGACAACTATTTAACTATTGCAATGCTCATGCAACCAAACTTAATATTAATTTTGATGTACAATCGTATTGTATGAATTTTGTAATGCATAGTATTTGTATCTTTTAAAAAATCTCTATGTTTTGAATGTCAAATATTTTATAGTCACGATTCACGTGAATGTGTGTTTGTCGTTGCAACAATTGCGATATACTCGTATGTAAGTATGTATGTGTGTCTAACTAAATCCTCTACTTCATTTTGGAAGGCGAGTGGGGCTAATCGCAAGCGCTCAAGTCAGTATTACACAATTCCAAATCCAAGACACAAGACACAAGAAACAACAGCGAAGAACGCTGTTGACTTTATGTCAAGTATTTCAGACTCTGAGTAGAATCTCCCTCCACAAATTGAAAGCGAATGAAGTGATTAATTTTTTCTGCAACAGATAACATATTTCTACTCTTCAATTTAAACAATTAAATTGTCATTGTTGATTATCAAATAATTTTAATATTACATAATTGCCACTTAAAATAAAACGATATTATGTAAAACAACAACCTTATTGTCTCTTACTGATTCTTAGCCTATCTGTATGTACATATTCTGTATGTACATCTATTTTCTTCGCTTTCGCCTTGTCTTCTTGTAGCTACCCGGATAACTGTCCTCATCGTCACTATCTGTAACAGGCTCCTGATTTTCTTTGGGACTCGTGCTTGACACCGCCGCCTCCTGAGCATCCCACTCCTTGCGCAGCTCACTAAGCATCCCCGGCGTCAGCAGACCTTGGGCGAGCAGTCTCTCCGTGAGACGTCCACGCGATGCGCTGGGCAAGCGTGGCTCCTTGACATGCGTCACGCGACGCATACTGTAGTTTGGCGTCTCCCCTTCCTGGCTGGCTTCGGTGTTTTTGAGCAGACGAGTTATCTGGAATACGCCCTGCTGTATAATTTCATCCAGTTCTTTTTGGGCTTCCCGCACGTTGCCTGCCTCGGGAAAAAGATCCATGAACCGATAACTGCAATAGCAAGTTTAGTTTATTATTTTGGCAGGAGTGAGCAAGAGTGCAACTTGCCTCAACCATAGATACAGGTCCATAACGTCGAAAACGGACTCCAGGTGCACCAGGTCCAGTATTGTCTTGGGCAGCTTGAATGGCCAGCCGCAGTTATTTCTGATGAATTCAAAAGTGATTGGCTCGTTCCGGCTGTACTGCCGCGCTATTTTAAGGAACATTGAGCACACGAAGGGCATCTTGCGGTTGATGGGTGCACAGCAGAAGACGTAACGGGCGCGAAGGGGCAGCGGAACATGTTGAATCATCTCGGCGAGGAACTTGAAGTCTTCAATGTTGCACATAAAGTATAGGGAGTCATCGACCGTGCAAAGGTTCACAAATATATCCATTAGGTTGCTCAGCGATGAGTTGGGCAGGTGGTAAGCATAGAGCTCAATTTGATCGGCCGTGGGATGCAGGCCTGCTTGCTTCAAAGGCTCGGGTGTCTGGGCCAGAATGCGCTGCAACGTCTGCAGATCCTCAGACTTGAAGGCAGTCACATACCCATGCTCCCACTCCGTGCGAAAGCGGCCAGCTCGTCCTGCTATCTGGAGAGCCGACGACACCGATATAGTGTCTATCTCGCGCTCCCCCCGTTCGTTCATTGTGGGCTTGACCAAGGAGTAGAAAATGATTCGTCGAATGCTCCTGCAAATGAAGATTGATTTAGCAAATGACTATTGATTCCCAGCAATGTATCACTTACAGATTCAAGCCCATGCCAATGGCGTCCGTGGCAACCATTACCTTGCAGCTATTGGCAGGATCGTTAAATTTGGCAGCCTGGGCTAGTTTTGTGCCTGGTGGCAGACCGCCATAGATTACAGCAACCTCCTTTCCTCTGAAAGGAATTCATTAGATGAGTATCTTGAATAAACTTTTGCGGGTGGAGACTCACCGTGCCTCGATTTCACGGGAAACTGTGTAAATATCATGCTTGCTAAAGCAAACGATACAATCGCCGGGCATGACGTTATCCAATGAGCCCAAGGCAGAGCCTTCGACTGTCAGCTCCGTGAGGCGATCATAGCGGCGCACTTCCACTGTTTCGCCAGTGGTTTCGCATATCTTCTGCAGCAGGTCCAGAGCACCAGCCTCGCCGCAGACATGCACTTCGTCAGCAATTAGACCGAGAAAGGCCCGCGTCCAGGCCCAGCCGCGCTGTGGGTCGCGAATTTGCTGTATTTCATCAATCACAGCCACCTCGTCTATCAATGATGGGACAAGGCTGAGGTAAGCTGACGAAATGCCAGAAATTGTGGAGTTTTTCGCTTACATGGTGTGTTAACCGAGGTCATTTCAACGGTGCAGGCAACATGGTTGGCCGGCGAGTTCTCGCTGATGCCGAACTTGCGCTCCTCTCCAGTGACCAGATCGCACGGAGTGCCGCGCTCGTTCGATTTGTTGTACACCTCCGTGGCAAGCAGCTTCAGGGGACCGCAATAGACGCCGGTCTTGGCATTTAGATATCTTTCCATGGCGTGGTACGTCTTTCCGGAATTTGTTGGCCCCGAATGAAACACGATCTTTCGGGTCAAGGCGCGGGCATTGGTATACCAATTAGCAGGCTGGCGCAGATCAGAGATCTTTTTCAGATCGTCCATGCAGTCTAGATGTGGAAACACGGTTTTCGCGTGACGGAGGAAATACGGAAAGATGTCGTCGATGTGGCCCGCTCCTTGCATAATGTCACTGAAGATTATGTGCAGATCCACCGGAAGATTTTCGGCCTCAATGCAGTAGCGCCGAAACGAGCCGAAGGCCTGTTGCTGCAAATAGGCTTGGAAACAGAATCAAACTTGTTAAGTAGGAATGGGCGCGTCACTGAAGCACAAGCACATACAGTCGAGTCCGTTCTCAGTGCACAGGGATTTTGTCTCTCGCCGTTGGGTGAATTTGTTCAGGATCTTGAGCAGCTCCGACTTTTCCAGTTTTCCCACCAACTCGGAGCCCACATCCTCGCAGTCGACGTTGGCCTGCACCTGCACTGGCTTGAACAATGTGGATACATGTGTTTCGTGTTTTTTCCGGGAGCACTGAGGCGCGGCCCGGTGTAAGCAGCGTGCGGCCGCAAGGGCTCCATAAGTTGCTCGTAGGCTGGGCGGCTGGCGAGCGACGCAGATTAGGCTTATGCAACGCCTTGAGTTTTGCATCGCTCCTGCAACAAAATGGTGGGGTGGCTGTTTTAATTGAACAATTAAGTAAAATGTATTTGTTAAAAACCCACGTTGCTAGCTCTGATATAACGGAGCGCGGTACAGCTGACGGACAGCTGTTTCTTTGTAATGTGTGTTCAAGCGATGCCGGATCGTTTGCGGCAAAAGAATATATTTTCTATCGAAAAACTCCCGCCACTAGATGCATATTAACAATTTCGATCGAGAAGCCCCATCACTATCTGCGCTGTGATCTGTGTATCGATGTTTTTTTTTTTCGAACATCGTGGTTATTCCAAAATGTATTTCTATTACAAACGGACTATATTTTTAAAATGCTCGCGCTCTAAAATAAAATCCTCAAAATATCTGTAGTAGTAGTATCTGTATATCAAAATATCTGTATTGTAAATAAATAAATAATATAAATACCGATAGGCGTGATTGCTTTATTATGATTGGTCGGGCGCGCAACAGAACGGTCAGCGAGGATTGATTCGCCCCGGCGGGTTGGATCCCTGAACCAAAAATGGGTCTCGGGTTCGAAATACTTATACAAAAAACAAATCAAATGCATAAATAGGTAAAAGAAAATGCAGCTTGTTATCTTACGCATATCATTGTTGGTTTGCTTCTGCCCTACGCTCTTCATTTGAATCGCCCTATCTCCGACGCTCGTCATTCGACGAAAGCTGTGAGGAAGGCTGCGTCTGCGTAGCAGAACTCACATCAAAATTTATCAATGCTGCAAGCAAGCGTTTCTTCGGCTGGCACAGTGCCTGGCTGCCATATATGTAACTTTATTTACACTAGACTCCATCAAACCTCTTGTTATCGCGCAAACACGGGCCAATTCGGGTCCGACTGTTTCAAATTCTTACCTCTTCGCGATTCTACGCTTTTGAAGAAGCTCAATAGATCAAAAGTCATTATTAATTGGGTTTAAAAGCAGCTTGGAAAATAAAATTTTGGAATAGAGGAAAGGAAAAAAATACGGTCCATACTCATAGCAGAAACTGGCTTTACCAAAACAATGACGTCCTCTCTTACGTATTATGCTACTACCTCTCTTGTTTAAACCTTACTTACTAAAATAATTCCAATAAAAAGTAGTCGTTAAATTAACCAAAATTGTAAAAAACTGCTTCACCTATCCGATAAAATTAAATGTGACGAACTGAGAGCTCCAGCTAGCTAGTAATATTAAAACGAATATTAAAATCGAGGAATATGATTTTCGATCAACAAAAAATAACTTTAGCCCATTGTCGACCAGAGGTATTAAAATACACTTCACGAAAATGCTGACACTTGAAGAATTTTGGCGCAGTTCAGGTGAAAAATATTGGGAAAATTTATTTTCTGTAAGTAAAGTGGAAGGATAGTATAGAATCTATACTATAGATCTACAAGGAGAATTTACAAACACAATTATATTCCACGGTTTAAATTACGTTTTTCTCGGTATATTTACCGCATATTTTGAAAATGACGTTTCTGAGGTTCCAGTCACGTTCCTGTAAGATACTTTTAATTTGTATGGGAATTTCAGCAATATGGGGTAATGAATAGGCAGCATTGTTGTGCAACTTTGGCACGGAATGAGCAACAATCTGCATACCTTGGGAAAATGGATATTATGGTCTTGAGATAAGTATGTAATTTCAGGCTCCAATTAATGCAGAAACTACTCAGTCTCTGTTTTAAAGATATTAACGAAATTTTGCAGCTCACGGGTTCCAATAATAGGCATCAGAACCGGTATAAATGTATATATATAACACAAACATGTGCATTAATAGGTAAAAAACATGTCAATCTAGGATAAAATCATAAATAATGTTTCAATGGAGCTTGGAACAAAACATTTAACATCAATTAAAAGAAATAAGGTATACAAAAGTACATACGCATAGAAGAAACTTGGCTGACCAGCAACAATGACGTCACATTAAGTCAAAATTTACGTTTTATGCTTTGGCCGTTTTTGTTTGAAACTTATTATGTAAAAAATTCAATGAAAAAGAGTTCTCAACACTATCCAATCCTGAACAAAATTCATTGAGGAATTGGATAAAATTATTTTTTTAGGGCTGAGAGGGCCAACTATCTAGTAATATTAAACTGAATATCAAAATTGACGAATTTCATATCGGAAAATATCATGGTATGGCAGCCCGCAGCAAAAACGAATTGCACGAGTCTGGCAGCGCCACAAAAACGACGTCACATTCGTTTTATGTTGTTTATGTTTAAACCTTAATATGTAAATAATCCAATAAAAAGGACTTCTGAAATTTTACCAATCTTGTAGAAAATTTATGTATCTATCGGATAAAATTATTTGTTTAGGGCTGAGAGGGCCAACTAGCTAGTAATATTAAACGGAAAACCAAAATCGAGGAATATCAACGTTGAATGTTTTGAAAAAAACAATCAATACTATCGTAATAGTATCGAGCTCAAATAATTATAAACAAAAATGACTCACTGGGAATATTAAACAAAATAAAAGTTAAAGTATTAAAACAATTCGTACTGCTTTCACTCCCGAACAGTGCAATGGGTTTATTCGGCAAAACTCCAAGCAAAGACCCCAAAGAACAGGTAACTACACTGGAACAGGCGGAACGCCTTCAGAGCAAAGAAGATCCAGAGAAATGATGTCATATTCGAGTTGTTTTGTTTGAAATCTTGTCTTATTTGCATTTGTTTTATTCTCCGCAACGTGAACAGGTGCAGGAATGGACGCACAAGATACGAAAAGAGGGCAACCAGCTGGATCGGCAAATTCGCAGCATACAGCGGGAGGAGGATAAGGTGAAGCGCTCGCTGAAACAGGCCGCCCAGAAAAATGACCGTGACACCTGCGTCATTCTGGCCAAAGAAATAGTGAATGCGCGCAAGGCCGTCAATCGCATATATACGTCAAAGGCTCATCTCAACTCTATACAGATGCAGATGAAAAATCAGTTATGTGAGTTGCCTTCAAGGATCTGTGGCTGGATCTGGAGACTCTAAATTATAAGTTCCTTGCTATTCTAGCCACCCTGCGTGTTGCTGGCTCGCTGCAGAAGTCAACGGAAGTCATGCAGGCCATGCAGAATCTGGTTCGCTATCCGGAGCTGGCGGGTATTATGCGCGACATGTCGAAGGAGATGATGAAAGCCGGCATTATCGAGGAGATGCTGGATGAGACAATGGACTCACTGGAAGAGTCTGAGGAGCTGGAGGAAGAGGCGGGAAAGGAGGTGGACAAGGTTCTGTGGGAGATAACGGATGGGAAGCTCGGCGAAGCTCCCCTGCCACCAGAGGCTACTCCAGCGGACAAAACACCGGCAGCGCCCGCAAGAGTCGAGGTCGAGGAGGACGATGACGAAGGCGAAGAATTGCAGGAGATGCAAAGCCGGCTGGCATCGCTGCGTTCCTAGATTAATAGCAATAGGGGTGGTCTTTCAATTATTGTCGGGAAGTAGGGCAGACTCTATTCCAGCACTTTGAAAATGTCTCCCTCCCAAAATTTCAGATGCTAGCACCCGAATCAGTGAATTATAAAAACCAAAATACTAGCAAGAAACGGATAGTTTCACTTTCTGTGCACTCTAGTGCACTTCTGTTCAAATTGTTTTGAACTGCACGCTTTTAACCGTTACATTTACAAAAGTTACATTTTATTTATTGTATAATTTCTTTGTATAAAAATCGATATATGCTGTAGAAATCTCCGTCCAAAATCCAACTCCTACCTGGCTAAATTCAACATGATTTCAAAATTGACACCATTTTGTAGGTAGTCTTTTAGTGCAGCACACTCGTATTTTCCAGTCTATGGTCGGACGTTATTCTCGATGAAGTCCAGATAAGCCGCCACTCTTGTGTATACACCTGGCCATCCCCTCATACCACATGGTGTTGGTCCATAGGAGACTACGCCGGCTAAGTAAACGTTGGAATATCCCTCGTTGTAATCTTCCAACAAGAGGGGACCTCCGGAATCTCCGCGGCATGAATCGACCCCCTCAACGCCGCCAGCGCAAATCTGATTGGATGTCACGGTGCGCCGCTGGCCAGCATACCGTTTGTTGCAGTCACTCAGCGGTACTGGATCCACTTCTGCCTTCAACTTTCTGTTGGACGTGAAGTTGGTCTCGGTGCGACCCCATCCGGCGACTACCAATTTGCGGCCTAGGAAGCCCGCGTCGCGCTGTGATGCTAGACTGGGCAAGCACACTGGAGAAATGAACTCTGTATATGCGACTGGGTCTCTCAGCCGCAGCAGCGCAATGTCGTGCAGCTGGTCCCGTGCGTTGCCTGGGTACTGCGGATGAGGTATTAGCTCAACCACGGCGTTGTCCACGAAGCGTGCATTACAGTCGCTTCGGCCGTTCTTCTCGGTTGTGCAGTCTGGATTAGTGGTCGTATCCCACTCTCCCAAACGCACGCCCGTCAGCTGCCAGTCACTTGGAATGGCGGAAACGCAGTGCGCCGCCGTGATTACATAGCGATTGTTGATCAGCGAGCCCCCACAGTGGTGGCCTTTGACGTTTCCGGCTGGAATTGGAAATTGGTATGGCTTACGGCTCAGTCGGGTCAAAATCAAACTTTGTTGTACTCACGTTTCGTGTACTCGATTAGCACCATCCAAGGAAACTCCCTTTTGCCCGTTTCCACGCCGCCTACCACGCGATCATTGAAATTCTCCCCACAATTGGGTGGCTGGGGGAGCAGGTTCGAAGTAAAAACTCGAGGGGTGGTGGGCTGCTGCGTTTGACCCTGATTTCCCCACACCGGCTGCTGGTTGAGTCTCCGGTTGTTTGCACAGCAAATCTGTATTCATTTGAGGCGATAAAAGTACGAGTAACTATAATGGTATTTTGGTGACGTGTAGGCTGTTATATGTATTTACGAGGACTTGTCCACTGCGATACCCGCATTGACTGTTCTGGAGGAATTGGCGGCTCTCGGTCGAAACAGATCCCCTTTGTACCAGATCAAACAGATATCCGCATTCCCTGAGATTAATGCAGGTCCCACTGTTCTCATCGGGCGTTGTGCAATACCCGAAGATTTCTACGAAATGAAGTTAAAACCAACACAAATCAATGCTGCTGCTGTTGATGTTGGGTGTTGGGGAATGCCTTTCAGTGTAATCGACCGGGTCAAGTTCAACGCTGATAGTCCGATGATTTTTCTGCATTTTCAGCCTGCAGTCTGGAGCTAGACTCGACTCCCACTTACCTTGTGCGTAAGCCTGTCGCCTTTCCCCAATAAATAGCACCAAGAGTCCGAGAATAAACTTCGGTTCCATGGCTGCAAATGACGATTTAGAAAGCTCTGCTGTCTTATATTAATCGGTTGGAGTTGAATAACGCGCTTAACGACTGTGTGCCTGCCTTTGCCTGTTCAAATCACACTGAAAGCGGCTTGGAAATGCTAAACGCCATTGCCCCCACAGGCTGTTGTCGTTGTCGTGGCTCGTCAGAGCTTATCAGCCAGTGATGCGAGAAGCCGCTGTTCTCTCCCCGTGGTCTGGTCAATGTGGCAAACCAGTAATAACAGAATCTCAGAGCGCGATTCTCAGTCCAACTGAGATGAGTTCCGTTTGACTTAGGGCTGGGTCGGGCTATGGCTCTGTCTCTTTCCCTGACTATGGGTCTGGCTCTGGCAATACTCGTACAAATATGTACACTGTCAGCGCGCTCTCAACTTCTACTCCGAGTAGTGTTAAACGAGGCTAATGGACCATCTTGCCGTTTCTTGCGCTCTCGTTGCCTCATCATCGCAATTTCCACTTGAATGGACCGATGATTTTATATCTCTGCCATACTCGAAGCTGACAGGTCTTGGTCCGTTTTAATAGCCATCGCCATCCACTTTAAAAGTGCCTGCTGCTTCTGCAGCCGACAAGTCGATTGAGAGAGTGCGTTCTGTTCAGATTTTTTTTGTACATACTCGTACTGGAATATTCCCAACCACACAAACATGTGACATACAAACGCGTTATATACTATGTATATATGTACTTTATGACTCGCACTCATGTACTTACAAACACACATACATATTGTATGTACATGAATATTGTATGCATAACTTACATATTTTCAATTAATTCGATGTAAATGTATGTACATATGTGTCACATACTATGTGATTATGGTTTAAATGTTTGTGCATAGTTAGGCATGTATTTGTGGGCATGTGCAGTGCTAAGTAAGTTAATTTGTGATTACCACTTGTGTGTGTCACATTCGATTAGGATGGGGTCCACATGCCGAGGAGTTGGGAGAGCCCTCAACTACCAGTACTGGTCATTTCAGTGGAATTTAAATTATCTCGATATGATTTTGTGTGCATACATACGAGTATATGTACATACATACCATTGCATTTGTCTTCCATATTCTTGTTTTACATGTTGTTACATACCAATAAAATCAGCTGCACATAAAATCAGTAGTTTTTTTTTTAAATCGGAAGAAGCAACGAAACTTTATTTTAAACCAATGTTTCAAGCTCAACATGTTTTTTGAGTTTTAATATTAGTTTTTAATCAATTTGGTTTTTTTTATTTCGGAATGGCATGGGTCAAGAACGTCCTGCCAACGCTTCAATAGGATTTAAGCCAATAACTCTTGAACCACTTGCCAAAATTTGCAGTTGCTACAATATATTTGACATTCCCTTATAAGTTTTCGATAATATTGAGATCCAAGGACTGAGCTGGACATAGCAAAACGTCGATATATTCGGATGAAACCCATTTTCTGGAGAGCTTTTTTTATTGTTTCAGGACATTATCGGTGACCAGCAAATAAATTCATAAACCATTTTCGGATTTTGTCAACCAATTTTAGCCGTTTCTCCATAGAACTTTTTGAACAATACTTTCAACGATACCTAATGAATGCACTTATACACAAAAAATATAAGAACACAGGATGTATGTATATAATTTTTCGACTTTTCCTGAGTTTTTATACCCGTACTCAAAAAAGAGTTAAGGGGTATATTAGATTTGTGGTAAAAGTGGATGTGTGTAACGCAGAGAAGAAAACGTTTCCGACCCCATAAAGTATATATGTATATTATTGATCAGCATCAATAGCCGAGTCGATGTAGCCATGTCTGTCAGTCTGTCTGCCTGTCCGTCTTGTTGAGCGCCTAGATCCCAGAGACTATAAGAGCTAGGGCAACAAAATTTGGTTTCCAGACTCATGTGATATCACACTGCTACAAGTGTATTTCAAAATTTCGCCACGCCCCTACAAAGAACGCAAATCTGTGGCAGGCACATTTTTAAAGATACGATGAAACTGAAAATGCAGCAGAGAATGAATGAAGAAATTAATTTTCAGTTGCTCCCCCCGCCTACTTCAGCCAGAGAACTGCTACTCATTCTCTTTCTCGCTCGCACACTCTGCTGCGTTTAGTGCGCGAGCGCTCTCTACCGGAGATGATGTAGAATCTAAATAGTACATTTATAATCTACATTTTAGATGTAGAATATACATAGTAGATGTAGATAAATGATGTAGCAAAAAAATATAAAATGTAAAATTTAAAGCCCACCAATGTGATCTATGCCATAGATTCTATGGCCAAACGTGTAGCTTTCATAGACTTCTTGCATTTAAATAATAGATAACACTACTCGACAATCAAGTATCCAAACCGACTTTCACTTTTTTCAGAAGTTGCCCTTATTTTATTCACATAACTTTTGTATCTTACGACTGGTTGTAAAGAACTTTTCTATTTTGAAAAGATAATCAAAACAGCTAAAACCTAAGCCTAAACACTTTGTGATTTCAGCTAACCGTCTGGGAAATATAAAGCATTGAAATTCAAAAATGATGATTTTTGTGCGGTATTTTTTACGAAATTTGAACTTTAAAAACTCAGGAAAAACTCAGCGCTACCTCTGAAAAAAGCTTAAAAAAATATCAGTTTTCAAAAATTCTTAAAATATAAGTTGTGCCATTGAAAAAAAAACATCAAACCATTTCTAAGCCCCAAATCTTTAAGAAAAAGTTGGTTTTGTTCCTTGAGGATAAATCTTAGTTTTCAGTTCCATTATACCTCCTGCCTTTAGTTTCTAGGCTAACTCTTTTCTGGACCGAGCAATGATTTCTTTTAAGCTCGAAAATATTTAATAGCTAAAATAAACTTACTCATGGTGAATGTATTAAATTAATATGTTCTGTTTTTTTTTTAATTTTTGTTAAATATTTACACTTAGCACGGCCAGGCAAAAATCCTCCAGCTGAACCCTCCCAGAGGGTGCCGGTCGGGCAATGGGCACTGCATTACCCCGGATCGGGTTAATGCATTGCCGTTTGCTCTGTCCGAGGTAATGCAGTGTCTAGCTAAGGCCGGGTCCAGGTCTTCCCGATATAAAATTGGGGGAACTGAACCATGGCCATGGCTGGAGGTGCCTGGCGGACAGGCATAAAACGCTAGGGGGTGGTCCCCCCCGATAAATATTAACCACATGGACCGGAGTAAGGATCAAGCAGGGACTGGGATGTCAGTCCAAACGTCGGTGGAAAGCGTGACTGCTACCACCGGCGGGCACGGGGAGGAGCAATCCTCTCTGCGTGTCGCCAGCGGTCACAACTCTGATATGGCGGGAGCAGGTCATATTAGTTTTAAAGCTACTGCCACCAAAACGCCCCTCTGCAAGCTGAGCCGCACGGGTGCCGTGGTCGAAACAGACTCGGACCTGGAGAGCGTGCTCAGCGTAAGCAGAACGGAGGAAGAGAGCCTTCTCCGCTCGCCTGAACCAGGTACCAGCTCCCTTCGTAGGGAAGGGCCGAAGCGTTCTAGAGAGGGGATGAAGGCTACAAGGCAAAGAGGACATCTCCCAAGAGGAGAAGTCCAAACTAGCATGGGCTGAGCAAAAGGTAGAAGAGGGGCGTCTCCACTACGCGCAGCTGCCTCAGATGAAGGCGATGAAGGGTGAATTCGCCAATAGGGTTGAGGAAATGATGGCCACCAAAAGGCAACGCTCGACCGAAAGTGCCAAGGACACTCAGGCGGGCAAGCGGCAACGCGGGCCCAAGGTGGTTATCCCTCAACCTTCTAAGACGAAGAAGCCCAAGCAGAAGGCCAAGGTGAGTGACGTGTCCAAGAGGCACCTCATCGTGGCCCTGATCGACCGCAGCGACGAAAATGGGAAGATGACGGCGGCGCAGTGGAAACAGGTCCACGCCCAGCTGGTAGACTGCCTTTTCGCGCGAATGGAGGAAGCGCCTGACGCTGCCATGCCCACCTTTGACGGTGCGGGATGGCTGAACGGGGTGAAGATCCTCAAATGTAATGATGACCCGACGAGGAAGTGGCTGTTGCAAGTGGTGCCCAAATTGGAAGCTCTGTGGGAGGGGGCCAAGCTGGAGGTAGTGGACAGGGAGAGGATCCCTTCCATCCCAAAGGCGAAGGTGCTCTTCCCCATTGCAGTCCAGGGAGACCGAGCACTGAAACTTCTCCAGAGGCAGAATACAGAGGTGCCCACGGCGGACTGGAAAATCCTGCATGCTGGTAGCCCGTTACCCAATGAGGGGGGCCAGCACATGATCATCCAGATCAACAAGGAGGCAGAGGACATCCTCTACCCGAGATTCGGGAAGATGGCATGGGGCGTAGGCAGTGTCTACCTACGTCTCAAAAAGCGCCACCCCGAGGACAAGGACGCGCATACCCTGCAGGTAGGCGAGGTGGAAAAGGACTTAGGTCTGGAGTCCATCGTAGAGGCCGCCCAGGATCTTGCGCTGGACGACTCTGATGCCGCAGAGGATGAGGACGGTGACCTGACTATAATAGTCAACCCGTCGAGTGCAGTTGAGCCAGCCTCCCACATTGAGAGTGCTGCAGCTCAACTTGCATAAAAGCAAGCTCGCGTCGGCGGAGCTCCTCATTGCCTTGGAGCAAGGGCCCGTCGACATTGCTTTGGTCCAGGAGCCATGGCTTGCCTCCGGCAATGCTGTGGCCGGACTAAAGTCCTCAAATTACAATCTCTTCTACCCACCATCGGTAAGCAGGACTAGAACCGCCGTACTTGTACGAAAGGGCATCCATGCTTATCTTATGTCTCATTACAGCACTGAAGACCTGGCTGCGGTGATGCTTGAAAGCGAGGACAAGCGCCTTATGGTAGCATCCTGCTACATGGCACACGACAGGCCAGCTCCACCGGAAGAGCTAAGGAGTCTGGTGGCGGAAGCCAGTCCGAAAGACCAGCAACTCATAGTTGGTACGGACGCCAATGACCACCATAGCGTGTGCGGAAGCCCCGATATCAACGAAAGAGGTGAGTCACTTCTAGACTTTATACTATCCACTAACCTAGATGTAGCAAACGTGGGGGAGGAGCACACCTTCGTAGGCCCCACCTCGTCCAACGTACTAGATCTAACACTCGTAATGGGGAACTGTACTTTGGTATCTGGCTGGAGAGTCCTTGAAAGACCATCCTTCTCAGACCACAAGTACATTCAGTTTAAGTGCGAATTTAAACACTCTCCGAAGATAACTGCCTATAGAAACCCCCGGAACACAAACTGGGAAAAGTTTAAAAAGACAGTTACCTCGAAGCTCGCGAATCGTGCGGGCACAGTGACATCCCCGGAAGAGATAGAATCGTCCCTAGAGACCCTCTCCAAGGAGCTACTGGATGCATACCACGCAGCATGCTCACCCTCGAGAACGAAAAAGAGAACCAGACCACTATGGTGGAACCGGGACCTATCGCTTCAAAGAAATAACCTCAAAGAATTCTTCAAAATCGCCAAACAGGCGAACGAGGAGATAATCGATGAGGAATACAAAACCCTACTCAGGGAGTACAAGAAGGAAATACGCAGGGCACAAAGAAACTCGTGGAGGAACTTCTGCTCCAATATCGAGAAAGTCCCAGAAACGGCTAGACTCCGGAAGTTGCTATCAAAGCAACCTGCCATACAAAGTCAGCTGAAACGAAATGATGGACAATGGACTGAGGGCAGCGGAAATGCCCTAACAGCACTAATGGAAGCCCACTTCCCAGGATGCACCGAGGTTCCTGACGCTACAGAGCATCAGGACCTAGCAACTGAGGAACAGCACCCCCCCAACAGATCTCATATCGTCTAGGAGAATCCACTGGGCTATAGACTCCTTTGTGGGTACGAAAGCACCTGGACTAGACGGTATATTCCCAGCCATGCTACAGGTGACCAAAGACGTGATCACCCCATGGCTCTCTGCAATATACTCAGCTTGCCTGAGGAGGACCAATGGAGGACCTCGAGGATTGTCTTCCTTCCAAAGGCAGGAAAGTGCAGCCATATGAGCCCCAATGACTACAGACCGATAAGCCTTACCTCTTTTCTACTCAAAACACTAGAAAAGCTGCTGGATCTACTCATCAGAAATGATGTAGGTGGGCGGATGTCAACCAACCAGCATGCCTATACCAAAGGGAAATCGGTAGAGGCGGCACTGCATTCGCTAGTAGCCACCATCGAAAATGCCCTCCAAAATAAGAAGTATGCACTAGGAGTGTTTGTAGACATATCCGGAGCATTCAACAACGTGAATATGAGCGCGATAATGGACCGCCTAGAAGCGATCAACACACATCCCGCAATCAACCTCTGGATAAAGAACCTTCTAAGTTGTAGACGGGTGTACTCAGAGTGGGGCACCGCTTCCATGGTGAAAGGGGCGCACAGAGGCACACCTCAGGGTGGGGTCCTCTCGCCCCTCCTATGGTATCTGGTGGTCGACGACCTGATAAAGAGATTCGAGAGGAGAGCCCCAAAAATAACAGCTTATGCGGACGACATAAGCATAATTATTACGGGAGTATGCCCATCGAGCCTCAGCTCTATAATGGAATCAACACTCAGGGAGATATGTAAGTGGGCGGGAAAAGTAGGACTCAGTATCAACGCGGACAAGACGGACCTCATCCTCTTCACCAAGAGGTACAAGGTACCGGCATGGATCCCCCCGAAAATTGACAGAACCAGGCTCACCCCAAAAACACAAGTCAAATACCTCGGCATAGTTTTGGACAGCAAGCTGACATGGAGACCCAATGTATTGGAAAGGGTGAAGAAGGCCACCATTGCGCTATATGCATCCAAGAAGATGCTTAGCAGCACATGGGGCCTATCACCTGCACTAATGCACTGGATCTACATCTCGGTAGTGCGACCGACTCTGCTGTATGGAGTCTTAGTGTGGTGGCAGGCTACAGAAAAGAAAACCTACAACAAGCTGATGGACAGAACTCAGCGGCAGGCACTGCTCTACATTACTGGGGCGCTGAGGTCAACCCCAACAAAAGCACTCGAAACAATACTCGGAATTGACCCCCTAGACATCCACGCTAGACTGACTGCAGGTAAGGCGGCACAACGCCTAGTCGCATCAGGCAATATGTCGCTGCAAGGATTCGGGCACAGTTCAATAGGCCGAGACATGATCAGTATATCTGACTACATGATCCCCCGAACGTGCCTGGACGTCAAAACAGCGATACACATGGAACCCGACGACTGGAAAGAAAGTTGGGACCAGAACGAACACCTAAACATATACACGGATGGCTCCAAGATGGAGGGAGGAGTAGGTGCGGGCATATATTGTACAGACCCTGAAATAAGGCTGTCCTATAAGCTACCGGACCAATGCAGCATATTCCAGGCAGAAGTCTTTGCCATACGGAAAGCGGCGGAGGTTGCTCGATGTACGGAACGCCCACATAATGTGATCAACCTGTTCGTGGACAGCCAGGCGGCGATAAGATCCATGCAGTCGTCAGCGGTCAGTTCCAAAAATGTCCTGGCAAGCAGGAGGCACTATTTCCTAAGCACGACAAAGTCAGTGCGGATCTATTGGGTTCCCAGCCACCAGGGCATCGAAGGCAACGAGACAGCAGACGTACTGGCTAAGGAAGGCGTCGGGCTGGCAAACGACAGGACTGAGAACGTGCCTGTCTCCCTCAGAGCGCTCCAAAGCGATCTAGAAAGGAGGGCACACATACAGACCAGCAGCAGGTGGAGGAGAACCACCAACTGCAAGATCGCGAAAACCATGTGCAAGGAGAGCAATGGTAAACTCAGCCAATACCTACTACACCTACCACGGAAGGACTGTAGGATGCTAATAGGTATACTCACAGGTCATTGCCTGGCTGCAGCACATGCAGTCAAACTAGGCATCACCAACAGTGACAAGTGCAGGAAATGTGATGAATCTGGGGCTATCGAAACCCTGGAACATCTAATCTGCCAATGCCCGGCCCTCTCAAGGGCAAGAAACATACATCTTGGCAGCCCGGCACTGGCATCGCTGGAAGATGCATCCAAGACTTTGGAAAACTCTCCTCGATCCTCACGGATTTCAAAACTGCGTAAAAACACTCAGAAGGTCCATACGCACCAATCCGGACAACTAAAGGCCATATTGGCCTATGCGTGGCCCCGTGAGGGCCGTCCGGGACAACCTAACCTAACCTACCGGTCAGTTTACCACGTTAGTCATTATATCTCCCTGAATCATTATATTTGTACAAACTTACAGTACGTTTTCCTCCCACGCAGAAAGATCTTTCGTTGTGTAGATGGCTGGATGATTGGATTAGCAGATGATTAGGTGAATGAATGGATGATCAAATGATAAGATGAGGGCTGGGTAACGACACGCATGACTGTAAAGTTTAGTTGTATTAATAACCATTTAATTGATAAATAATCCATTCTCCGCCCATAAAAATCCTTTTTGACTAGGTCCACATGTTAGATTTCATGGGCGTTCATGTTAGCCGCAGCACAATTAAATTGAACCACCAATCGGACCAATCAAAAAGCACTTCATTATCCGGGATATAATAAGAAAGAGAAGAAAAAACACATAAAAATAAATCCACTGGGTAGGCGGCTTCAGATTAGGTTTGCCAGAGCGAACCTACAATCGACGGCGGCTTAGGCACGGGGTCAATGACCTTGAGGCATCGACGAAAAATGCTCCCACGCAGCGAAAGCCAGGTGCAGCTTGCTTGTAGTGACGCAACTGTCGAAGCTGGTTGCGACGGTAATGGTATACCGGCTCACAGCGTGAGGAAGTCCATCCTTGGGATCACGTTGCTCACACCCGTAGGTCGGACGGGGAGGTTATATAACCTCAACTGACCCGAGCACGCTGCCGGTCGAAAAATTTGCCGGAGCGAGTCCACGTATCCCAGCGAGTTATATCAGGTTGTACCAAGGGTTATATCAGGTTGTACCAAGAGTTATATCAGGTTGTACCAAGAGTTATATCAGGTTATACCCAGACATACATAACTAGGTATCACTACGTCTGTACTAGTGGTGCGATTCCCCAATGGGAACTGCACCACTTCAATTGATACAATTTCGAACTGTGGATTTTCTTTTCTCCCGGTGGGCTGTCGAAAAGCAGGGACGGTAGGTGCTGCCGTGGTCTTGGGGTTATGTACACCTCGGTGGATATGGGCAGATTGTGGAGGTTGATGGAAACCAACTTATAATTGCGAACACAAAATCACTGCGCGTGGTAGCTGACTGTATATATGGTTAAAAATCAGATAGAATACAGAGCTCCAGAATACTGCACTCTGCGACGGTCACGAGGAGAAAGAGACCGACTCCTAGATCCACCGGATGCAGCAGCCCACGTTTTCCCATCAATACCGTATTTTTTTCCTTGCTTTTTACTTTAAAGAAAAGTAATTAGCAATAAATATAAGTGCAATACGGAATCAAAACAACGGGATGGCGCTGCCACTTTTTACCAAAACATATGTT